TGTTTGAGCACACAAGGAATTTGGTTCCAGGAGCTCTCAGTATATGTGATGCTGAGAGCAAACGGCGGACAACAAAACTACTACTACCACCACCAAGAAGAAGAAGTAGAAGGAGGAAGAGGAAGAAAAAGAGGAAGGAGGAGGAAGAAGAAGAAGGAGGGGGAAGAGGAAGAAGATTGGGAAGAAGGAGTAAGAGGAAGAAGTACTACTACTAAAACTACTACTACTACCACCACCAAGAAGAAGAGGAAGAAGAAAGAGGAAGAAGTACTACTACTATTACTACCACCAAGAAGAAGACATAGAAGGAGGAAGAGGAAGAAGAACTGCTACTAAAACTACTACTATTACTACCACCACCAAGAAGAAGAAGTAGAAGGAGGAAGAGGAAGAAGGAGGAAGAGGGAAGAAGAGGAAGAGGCAGAAGTACTACTACTAAAACTACTACTATTGCTACCACCATCAAGAAGAAGAGGAAGAATGAGTAGTAGAAGAAGAAGGACGAAAGAAGATAGATTTATAGCACTTTTATGGATACTCAAAGATACTTTACAGAGAACAAGAACAAGAACAAAACAACAAAACTATAAGAAATGAAACAATGTGGGGTGGGGGGTAGAAGGAGGAAGAGGAGGTAGAAGGAGGAAGAAGTAGAAGGAGGAAGAGGAGGAAGAAGGAGGAGGAGGAGGAGGAAGGAGGAGGAGGAGGAGGAGGAGGAAGAAGAAGGAGGAGGAGGAGGAAGAATGAAGATGGATTTATAGCACTTTTCTGGATACTCAAAGATACTTTACAGAGAACAAGAACAACAAAAAAAATACAAAAAAACAAAAAATGTATTAATCTACAAGAAGGGAACCAATGCAGAGGGGCAGAAGAAAAACTATTTTTTTAGAGGTTGTAGGAAAATTTCAAGAGGTGTGTTTGAGGGATTTATTGAAGGTGGAGAGTGAAGGGGGGGGGGGTCTCTGATGTCTTTAGGGAGTGAATTCCAGAGGGTGGGAGCAGCAATGAAGAAAGTCCTGTCCCCTCAGGTGTGGTGGTTAGTCCTACGCCTGTACATGCTGCTGCACATGGTGCAGATCACACTGTATATGTTAGAGTGTCAGATCAAAGACCTAAATCTTTCTACTGATGAACCTATAAATTACCAAACTTCTAGATCCAGAGGGTACTCTTCTTTTTCTGTATAAATGGCAGGTGTTCCAAAAAAGGGTTGTTTTTTTTTGGCAAATGAATTACACTCAAAATGCGAGTTTAAGAAGGTGGAGAGAGTCTGTGACCATAAATCATACAAAAAAATTATTTAACTTCATGGCTTGTGAAAACGCAATCAGATGAGGGAGACAAAGCAAAAATGTGAAGAAAAGAGATGATTTAAGAGGGGCTGGATTATTTACACAGTATTGTCATATGTGTGTTATCAACATGATACCAATATCTTATTTTTAAATATCATGGTTATTGTCAATACCGGTATTTGGCATCACCCTGAGATGAATAGTGTTGCATTAAAGGCATTTGCTCTAAAAAGTCAAATATGTACTGTATGTCTGTTAAAGTTGATCTCAACCCCCAACCTCAGCTGCCAGCTGAGTTGGCCTGATTCGGGGGTGTCAATCATGCCAAGTTTCAGCTGAGTCTGGCTGCATCCAGTTACCAGTGAGTTTGGGCCGATGCTGTGCCAGGTCATTTTGGCTACCTGGGAAGTTAAAAAAAACCCAAAGGCTTTAAAACAGGTAAAATGTTCTATTGTTGTTGTTTTTTTTTTTTAGTAAACATTGATAAATCTCAGTGCTAGGGTTATTAAGCATATTTTTGTTATACAGTAGGTATGTCAGGCATTTTTCATCATTTTACAAATCAAATCCTAATTTAATCAGCTCATTTTAAGCAAACTGTCTAGGGAAATATTGAATCAAGCAAATTAGTTTGTTTCCAGTCCAGGCAGCACGTGGGAACACAGATTCTCCCTCGTGCTCAAATAAAAAGTGGGTAATTATTCACTTTGTCTCACTAAATCACAGAAATGCATAGGTGCATGTTGTATTCTACGGCTCTGCGCATGCTCAAACAAGAAGGGAAAGTGACTTTCTTTCCCACAATCATGATTGGCTGCCCAGCCACGATGAAAGACTCGCAGTTATTGGTTCAGTTAGCAAGACAGCCGCTGATTGGCCCATTCCTATCTCTATGACCCTTCACCCTATCAGGCTCAGTGGCGTCCTGCACTCCGTACCATGCTAGCTGTAAACATTCACCGTGGTCATGCTTAAGTAACTTTACTGCCCTTGAACTTTGTGACACATTTCGCTTTGAGATATGACACGAAAAAGACACGCGAGGAGAAAGATGCGGATTGTTAGCTGAACGTTCACGGTGAGTAAATAACGATGTTGCTCGCTAGTTTTTTAACAAACGGTTTGCTAATCGAGCTAAGCTAACTGAGGTGTTAGCTTCTTCGAGGTTAGCTTTCCAGGAATTAACCTTTTGTTGTGGTGAAAACAGCGATGGAAACAGGTGTCAGTCTGCTAGTAGTTTGTACGCATGCTAGGTGAATGCATCGGAGTCAGGGAAGTTGTTGCCAACTTGTTTTTCTTCCTTAATTGCAGCAACAGTACAGTGAATACGTTCAGTTAACTCACAGGTATGATGGGACATGACTTCTTAAATCATGTTCAAACTGTATTTCACATGGTGAAGAGAAACAAAGTATCTGTGGTATGTGTCTTGTTGAATCCAGACGTGGACTGAAATTGACCTCAATGAAATATCACAAAGGTGTATATATATATATATTTAAAAGTTAAATATCTTAAACATTTAATGGCTTTTTACTTTCTGTATTTAATTACGTAGAAATAGAGGATATTTGTCTCCACACCTGTAAAAATAAATCTAACGATTTGCTTTTTGTTCAGGCATATTCATGAAAACTTAAAAGGATATGGATCTTATAAGAAACTAAAAAAAAAACACATTTAGATAAATATCTGGTACATTTAATGATTTTTTATTCTCTGTATTTATTCATGTAGATATGGAGAATATTTGTCTCCACAAAATTTAACGATTTGCTTTTTTTTGTTCAGGCATGTTCATGAAAACCTATAAAGATCTGGAATTTATGATGAGTAACTAAAACCTAACTAGATGTGGAAATGCTCATTACAGAATATTGATTTTGTAAACCCGTATCACTGAATTTATAGCATTGAAATATGTTGCTGCTCAAAACAACTATCTGAATTTATTAAATTTAAAAGTTACAGTATCAGTCAATCAATCAATTTTATTTATAAAGCCCAATATCACAAACCACAATTTGCCTCAGAGGGCTTTACAGCATATGACATCCTTAGGACCCTTGCAGGGTATAAGGAAAAACTCTAACGGGGAAAAAGTCAGCAAGTAATTCCAAAATGTGCAATTTCAAAGACTTGATTTAAAATACATTTTCTTTGTGAAGCCAAAACATGTAAGTGTCCTATATTAAACAAACAATATGCAAGTTTATCAAATTCCCTTGTCATTTTCTGATATGAAAATATCAAATTTAATATTTAATATCAAGTTGCTCAAATTGGATTGGCCAATTGGCATTGGCATGGATTGGCATTACATGATCCAAAGCTCAGATAAGCAGCTGACATTTGCATTTTCTATATGAATTTGCAACCCCAGGAAGAGTAGCTGATGTTATGTATCCACTAATGGTGATCCTAATAAAATCAAATAAAACCTGCTCAATGTATATACTGACTATAGATTTCTCTCTGTAGTTTTTCCAAGTTTTTCAGAACTTTTATGTTAGTGGACAGCAGGAATTGATAAGATTTTATTGATATCAATGCCATTATTGATTCTGCTTATCAGCCTGACTCTTTATTGATTCCCTTAGCGATTCCTGATCAGTTTTCAATGTGGAAAAAATAGACATACACAGGTTTTAAGCGTCAACGCACCAGTTTTATTATCTGAGTCTGAACACAGTAAAGAGACAGAGTAGAGAAGAAGGCATGCATGTGACTCAGCCAGGCAAAAGCTCCACTGTTAAACTGTTTTCTTAGTCAAAGAAAAAATGTGCCACACCTGCCCATATGGTGCTAATGTTAGGATAACCGAGGATATTTACCCTTGATATCAGACATGCTTGGTTTGGAAGCAGTGGCACTCGTGTTTAGAATGTCAAATACACGGCATTCCTGGAAGTTAAGCCCATGTTGTGTAGACATGAAAGCATATTGCTTCCTCACTTGGAATTATCATTTTACAGACATTTTAAGCAGCACTCATGTCATCTTTCTTGATGAAATGAAGTGCTGCTTGGGACCTTCTTGCTGCAAGTTTCCAGCAATGCAGATGCATGACTTTGACGTCATTGTTTTGCAATGTGCAGCTGTCAGAAAAACCAGTTCTCAACTGGAACCGGTTCCAAACTGGTTCCTAAGTTTACAGTTAATGAATAAGTTTTCAATAGACAGGAGGACAGTACTTTGAGATTACATTATATCAGTGGCTTGGTAACTGACTAACATTATCTACAAAGCAGACAAATGAATAGAGACGTGTAGTTTTAGTTGTTATATTACCCAGCTGCTCCACATACTTAGTCCCAACTCCATACCAGGTAAATAAGAATTAGAATACTGGCTCAAGTAAGAGATTAACCAGCCTCTGTCTCAAGGAAACAGATTTATAATTCAACCCACATCTTTTCCGCAGCCTGTTTTGTCGCCTATAGTCCAGTAATGGCGGGGATTTTCCAAAAAACACTGAGACTGAGGACAGCTCTCAGACATCTGAGCCCCCACAGCACCTTCTCATCAACAACCACAGCCAGACTTTCACCTGTGGACCTCCGCAGTCTGTTTCTTCCCACCACATCATGGCATTTTGGAGTCTGCTGTCAGAAGCTGCACACAGGGGCAGACAGGTCCTCCCCCTCCCCCTCTGCTGCTCCAGACAGGCTGCCTTTCTCCAGAATAACTCAGGAAGATTTGGCCTTCTTCAGGAAGATCCTACCAGACAGAGTCATCACTGATCCGGACCTGCTGGAGTCCAGTAATGTGGATTGGCTCAAGACAGTGAAAGGTGATGGTTAGAAATGAATTAAGCTCATCCCACTTAAAGATATGTTTCTTACACCAATTCACTGATGGTAATGTTTGTTAATACGGCTTCAGGCTCCAGTGAGCTGCTGCTGAGACCTCAAACGACTGAGGAAGTTTCTCAGATTCTCAAGTAAGGAGCAAACAGTGGGTGGAAGGACAAACACAGAAGCGAGGAGTCTATAAGGGGGGTCTAAGTTGTTGTATTTTCACTCCTGTAGGTACTGCAACAGTCGTAATCTGGCGGTGAATCCTCAAGGAGGTAACACTGGGCTGGTTGGGGGCAGCGTGCCGGTGTATGATGAGATCGTCCTCTCCACTGCCCTCATGAACAACATCCTCACCTTTGATAGTATCTCTGGTAAGTCTTAAAGTACTAAAGTTTCAGCCAAAATGAGCAACCTGCTTTATAAAAAGCCTGTGTGACTAATCTTTAAGAATCGTTCCCTCCATGTGTCAGGCATTCTGACCTGTCAGGCAGGCTGTGTCCTGGAGAACTTGTCCCTTTACCTGGAGGAGAGAGACTACATCATGCCACTCGATCTGGGGGCTAAAGGCAGTTGCCACATTGGGGGAAACGTGGCAACAAACGCAGGTGGACTCCGGCTGCTGCGATACGGCTCCTTACACGGGACTGTGCTGGGTTTGGAAGTGGTGAGTGGAGTCAATAAATGAGTAGCTTTGATATTCTTTGAATCTCAAGGATAAAAGCACTGGTTGAATGTTTGTGTGTGTGTGTATGTGGCATGTTCAGGTGTTGGCAGACGGGCGAGTGCTGGACTGCTTGGCCACACTGCGGAAAGATAACACAGGATATGACCTCAAACAGCTCTTCATAGGGTCAGAGGGCACACTGGGGGTCATCACCGCAGTGTCCATCCTTTGTCCACGGAAACCCAAATCTGTTAATGTGGTTTTTCTGGGTAAGAGTTTCTCATTGCTTATACCATGACAACCACACACAAACTGTGTCTCAGTCCAGGTGTCAGGATGAGTGTGTGTTGACAGAGCAGCAGATACATGATGTTACTGTCTAAATTTGTTAGGCTGTGAGACCTTTGAGCAGCTGCTGAAGACATTTCAGCTCTGCAGAGGCATGCTGGGAGAAATCCTGTCAGCCTACGAATTCCTGGACAGTGAATGTATGAGGCTGCTGAACGCGCACCTCAAACTCCCCAATCCCATCTCTGGTAGGCACACACACACACACACACACACACACACACGCCTAGCATATAAAGCGATTAAACACGCACGCACGACAAACTCTGTCCTCCATCTTGCAGATTGTCCGTTCTACGTTGTCATAGAAACGTCTGGATCCGACCCAACACATGACGGAGAGAAGCTCCACAATTTCTTAGAGGAGGCGATGACATCATCGTTGGTTACAGATGGGACTGTGGCAACTGAAGACTCAAAAATCAAGGTTTAGTTTCTAATCTTCTAAGTCTGTTGATATTCTGCAGCAAATCCCACAAAAAGACCAAAAGCAAACTAACAAGTGTTTGTGTTTTAAAAATTGTGATACAGCATAATCCTCTGTGCTACATCACTCTGATGTTGTCCTAGAAGTGTTAAAAAGACATCAGTTGCTGTTAGTGACATACTTCTTTGTTACAATGAACACAGCCACTGCAATTTTTGGAGTCAATCCCACATACACCATCCTACATTTATAGTGTCATGTGACGCGTTACCATCAGAAATAAACTGTTCATTGTTTTCATTTTTCATTCATCCACACCGCTCCACTTCCGCGATTGCACTTCCAGAAAAAAAAACTTGAATTTTGTTGTGTGTTGTCATGTCATTCATTATACGCTACCTTACAGAAGGGTGCCAGTGATGTGTGCCAGTCAAATCATAGGCCCCAAATATCTGTCTATATCTCCTTATTATCAGACTTTGATCCTCTGCCTGACCCTCCCTGTGTTCAAGGCTACTTAATGGTTCTATATCATCACACTATTATTAATATAAGCAGAGGATTTTAATACAAAGTGGGAACCACTGTATGTGAATGCATGAATGGGTCAGAGCTGCAGCACTGGATTTAAAATGAACTGTAATAAACTGGAGCTTCTGTGCTTTGATCGGCTGCTGTGAAACAACAAAGCCCTCATTTATTTATTTGACCTTTTTATGAATGAAAGTATACATGTGTGACTTATTTTTTAAATATGTAAGACTTCAATAGAAACGACATGCTTCAGGCTGAGTGCCACAGACAGGGGAGGGAAATCAGAAAGTATTGAAAGATAAATGCGTTGTTGGCTCTGGTCTTTTTATGGGATTTATAGACAATAAGTAATGTAGAATATCACCAGCCTTAACCCCTAAATCTTTTGACCCAAGCTTTAGTTACCACTCTGTTGGGGTTGTTTAATTCATACTTCTGTGTCAACTCTATAATGAACTTATTTTAATCCTCATCTATGTTTAAAACTGCAAATGATGATGATGATGTCATCAACCTTTCCATTTCCACCTGTCCAGGCTCTGTGGTCGATGCGTGAACGTGTCACGGAGGCGCTGACTCACGATGGCTTCACTTACAAATATGACATCTCGCTTCCAGTGGAGCTGATCTACCAGCTGGTGACAGACATGAGGGAGCACCTGGGGGACCGAGCCAAGAGTGTGGTGGGATATGGACACGTAGGTAAGACGTGAAAAGAGCCTGTATATCAGGGGGGAAATAACGGCCTGCTAGCATGAGATGATTCATTGGCAAGTCTTTCCATGTGTACTTTTAGGAGACGGAAACCTCCACCTGAACATCACCTCTCCTGCCAAAGACCCTGCTCTCCTCGCTGCCATCGAGCCCTTCGTTTACGAGTGGACGGCCAGCTGTCAGGGCAGCATCAGTGCAGAGCACGGACTGGGCCTGAAGAAGAGGAACTATATCTACTACAGTAAACCCAGCCAGGCTGTGGCTCTGATGGGTGACATCAAAGACATGCTGGATCCTAAGGGCATCCTCAACCCGTACAAGACTCTGCCAGATAACCTGAAATGACCCAAAGTGTCTCACTGCGGTGGGGTAAGTGGCAACGTACACAGAACTCATGCTGGAGCTCTATTTCAGCTGTAACTTTATTACCATGTTTTGTTTTTATGGCAGCTCACGGCCTTTCCTGTTGTACCTTTGACACACATTTGGTGCCGAGCTGCAGGGTTTGCAAGTAGTTTCATTGTCATGTGCACAAAGCATCACTTTCAGAATGATGTCCACTTTAACACGCTGCTGACTTTGTACTGTAGCAGTCTAGAGTTAGACTGTTACAAGTCAAGTTACTGCTTAACATTATCAACTACCTCTGCTACTCACACGCCCAGAGTAGCTTTAATGAAATCCACGGGTATTCCACGGAATATCCAACAAGTTTTAGACCTTAAAGGGACAGTTCACCACAAAATCAATGACACATTTTTACTTTTACCTGTAGTGCTATTTATCAGTTTAGATCAGGGTTAGGCAACCTGCGGCTCCGGAGCCATATGCAGCTCTTTAGACCCTCTCCAGTGGCTCCCTGTGCCTTTGATATAAATTTATATGGAAATGAATGATTGTTTATCATCATGCAGATTTATATTTATCATTGTTGTAGGCCGAGAGCGATTATTGCTTTCTACGTTTGTAAAAATGTGAAGCCTATACATTGAATTAAAAAATGTTTTAAAGTTTCATCAACTAAAATGCGTGTCATACGTCTAGGACCTGGTGCTTTATCTTCTAAAGTTTACTGAACTTCAGTTGCGGTGGTTAGCCTTAAGTCTATCTAGCAAGGCTAGCTATTGATTCCAAATCAATTAAAGGAAAAGTCCTGGAGGAAAACAGCGAATTTAATATGTGAACAGATTCATTTATTTTCACCAACGCTGCAAAGTTAAAGTACTATCTAATTATTAATAACCCACTGCAGAGTAGCTGCCTTGTAGTAAATCATATCAATAAATGCTAATTTAGACCTAATAGGCTGTTACCTTTATTCAAAAATGTTCTGCAGCTCCAGACAGAATTTTTCTTTTCCTTTTCGGCCAGTAATGGCTCTTATAATAGTAAAGGTTGCCAACCCCTGATTTAGATTGTTTTAGTGTGTGTGGTGGAGATATCAGTCATCCTTCTCTCTGATATAATGGAACTAGATGGGACTCAGCTTGTGTTGCTAACAGCAGCATCACTTTCCAGAACTCATGACCTGGTTACTCAAGATAATCCAGAGATCTTGTTTTGAGCACTTTCATAAAGAACAATTTTCTTTCTATCGATACCCACTAAACATATCAGTGTGCAGAAGGAAGTGTGAATGTACTTGTGGATGAGAGGCTCGTGCTTGTGACAGCATGAGATGTTAACACTAATAGCGTTCCCCTCAGCTGAGCTGTAACGTTAGGTAGTGGTAGTAGGCAGTGGTGCTAAGTGAGCTAGTAGTAGATGCACGCTTCCTTCTGCACAGTGATACAGTTGGTGGGTGTAGTTTGGTAGAAAGAAAATAGTTCTAACATGAAACTGCTCACAACAAGGTCTGTGGATTATCTTGAGTAACCAGGTCATGAGTTCTGGAAAGAGACATTGCTGTTGAGTTTTTCCAAATGTTTTTTTTTTTTGGCACCACAAGCCAAGTGCCTTCTAGTTCTGTTAGAGAGATGGCAGATATCTTTACAGCTGATATCTCCCAACACTCTGCAACTCACACTAGAACAATGTAGACTGACAAACAGCACTACAGGTAAGAGGAACTATGTGCATTTTTAATTTGTGGGGTGAACTGTCCCTTTAAATAAAAGACACTTTGTACAAATGAAAAGCATAGAATATATTTTTCAGTACTGCTAAGAGGAAGTGGATGAATGATCATGAATGACAACGTAGGTGTTAGTGTGCCTACTAGTAGCCACTAGAGGGCAGACAGAGTGTGTCTGGATATACACTGTAAGGTTTTGTAGCATTTTGAAATTGTGTAAATTGGCCATGTACATGTGAACCTTACTATTGTTTCAAGGCTGATTTCTGAGACTGAATCTATAAATGAAAATGTATTTGTATAGATAAACTCAGCTGTCAGTTTATTAGGTACACCTGGCTTAAACTAACACAGTCTAATGCAACAGTCCTGCAGTCAGTCTGACCGTCATGAAGGTTGTGATGTTCAGTTTTTGTTTAAAGTGTTTTAGAAAAGTGCTGACTCAAATAGATTGTCATTTTGGAGGCTGCTGGTCGAGGTGCTGTTGAACTGTACTGCATGATAAAGAGGGTTTTTTAAAGCCTAACCTAATTGAAATAAATGGGATTAACAAAATAGAACAGTGCAATGCAGTACGGTTCAACAGCATCACAGACTGCAGCCTCCAAAATGGCCATAAAATTGAATCAGCACCTTTCAACAAGAAAACTGAACTAAATAATCTTGATGAAGTTATAATTTATTGCAGGACTGTTGTATTTGACTGTATTAGTATTAGCTAGGTGAACCTAATAAACTGGTAACTGAGCCTACATCTTTTCTAAACTCACAGGCTGGCTAATCATGAGGCAAGAGTGCAGTAAATGTTTTATTACATATAAAAAAGACAGAGCAACATTTCTTCCAAAACAAACCCAGCATTTGTGAACAAATTCATCTGTAACTGCACAGCTAGGCAACTTTATCTGTTGAAAATGAATCTTGAATAAAACAGCTTCCAAATGAAGACAGTGTGTTTTTTTCTTGTTATTCAGGCAACTTGTACAGTGTGGCATGATGGGAGGAGTTAATGGAAGCCCACCTCGCTACCGAAAACAACTTCACCTCCGGTATCTTAAAAAAAAAAACAAAAAAACATCAGCTCTATCACAAACAAGTCTTCCTCGATTCCTCTCTGCCTGCACAGGAGAGCCACAGTGAGTTTACGAGGTGTGCCCTGCAGAGAGGATCATTTTCTTATTATAAGATACAGACTAATGCCTATTGGCAGGTATTTACTGTGTCTACTCCAGAAACCATCAGGATAATCGTGTATCTGTAGTATCTTATCCTGTTTTTTCCTCTATACATCTCAGCGGGAACAATTTCCTACTTTTCTCTCCTATTTCTCAACAAATCATGTTGTACTAGCTCCAATAATGACAATATGGGTACAGAAAGTCCAGTAGAGTAAATGCCTATATATGTATACAGTCTGTTTCACGCCCCATCAGTCTTACATATCCTCAGTAGTGTGGTTGCAGTGGAGATTTAATAAATATACTTTTTAAAAAGTTGAAAAACAAATTTGATTCTATTGGCTCTTTTCCTTTAGTCAGTGGAAATATTTCTGTGGTTTGTAGTGTGTGTTTGTGGCGATAGTTGGCATGTTTTGATAAAGCTAAATGTGTGAAACACTTCTGATTGTCTCTGAGCAGAATGCCACGACCGCATGCCAAAAACACTGGCTGGGGATCAGAAATTGAATTGTAAGAGACACTCAGTGTGTAGTGTTTGGTGTGTGTGCAGTCTGAGATGGGCGTTAAAGCATTTTGGGATGGAGTACTACAATATGCCATCCATGTTCTTCACACTCAGTAACAGTCTAAAGTTCAGGTCAGTGCGAGCACAATGGCAATGAGTTTGTGTCCTGTAACAAAGGCTGGCTTATTCACACAGGACAGGTCCAAACATCTGTGGGCTTCAAGTCAGAGAGAGGGATGTCAGTGGAAGGCAACCACAGAGATAATGAGAGCAAGAGAAGGATGAAGCTGGATGACACTTGAACAACTTTTTCCTCCGGTCCTATGTCCGTCCCCCATTATCATCCTTTCTCAAACGATGGGCTCCTCTCCAAGCTGATCCCTGACATCAGGCAGCTGCCTCCGGGGCTCCTCTCCCTCTCACGACTCCTTGCCCTTCTCCAGAGAGCTGTGAATCTTGTCCAGGGTTTTCTTTATGCGCAGTGCTGTTAGCCTTGCAGAGGGGTTCTGGTACCAGCACTCTTTCATCAGTTTCACCAAAGCAGAAAGAGTCTGAGAGAGGAGAGAAACAAGATGGAAAAATAAAAGGTAAGTTCCGCAGTAATACACCTACAGTGACAGGAAACTGTGCGATCAATGTGACTGCAAGAGCTTTTAGATGTGAAAGGGTCCTGCTGTTCTTTGTACTAGTGGGTTACAGCTATCTCACATCCATCAGTATCAATCTCTTAGCATAAAAAAGTCACAAAATAGTATAGTATGCCGCAAAAAAGGTCATAGTATAGTATGTTAAAAAAAAAAAAGTCATAGTATAGTATGCCGCAAAAAAAGTCAGTATAGTATGTAAAAAAAAAAAAAAAAAGTCATACTAGTATGTCAAAAACATTATAGTATGGTATGTAAAAAAAAAAAAAAGTCATAGGAAAGTATGTAAATAAGTCATAGTATAGTATGTTGAAAAAAGTGCAAAAAAGTCATAGTATAGTATGTTGGAAAAAGTGCAAAAGAGTCATAGTATAGTATGTCGAAAAAGTCATAGTAAAGTATGCCACAAAAAAAGTGCACAAAAAGTCAGTATAGTATGTAAAGAGAAAAAGTCATAGTATAGTATGTCGAAAAAAGTGTAAAAAGAAGTCATAGTATAGTATGTCGGAAAAAGTGCAAAAAAGTCATAGTATAGTATGTAGGAAAAAGTGCAAAAAAGTCATAGTATGTAAAAAAAAAAAAAAAAGACAGTATAGTATGTCGAAAAAAGTGCAAAAAAAGTCATAGTATAGTATGTCAGAAAAAGTGCACAAGAATCATAGTGTAGTATGTCGAAAAAAGTCATAGTATAGTATGCCGGAAAAAGTGCAAAAGAGTCATAGTATAGTATGTCGAAAAAGTCATAGTGAAGTATGCCACAAAAAAAGTGCACATAAAGTCATAGTATAGTATGTCAAAAATGTTGTAGTATGGTATGTAAAAAAAAAAAAAAAAAGTCATAGGAAAGTATGTAAATAAGTCATAGTATTGTATGTCGAAAAAAGTATGTCATAAAGTGCAAAATAGTCATAGTATGGTATGTAAAATAAGAAGTCATAGTATAGTATGTACATAAAAGTCATAGTATAGTATGTAGGAAAAAGCGCAAAAAAGTCATAGTATAGTATGTCGAAAAAAGTGCTATAGTCATAGTATAGTATGCCGCAAAAAAAGTCAGTATAGTATGTCAAAAAGTGCAAAAAAAGCATAGTTTTTCAAAACAAAGTGCAAAAAAAGTCATAGTATAGTATGTCGAAAAAAGTGCAAAAAGTCATAGTATAATATGTCAGAAAAAGTGCAAAAAAGTCATAGTATAGTATGTCGAAAAAAGTCAGAGTATATTATGTTGTAAAAAGTTCAAGAAAAGTCATAGTACAGTATGTTAAAAAAATTGCTCAAAAAGTCAGTATAATATGTCCAGAAAAGGAATGTTATCTTTTGTCAAAAGAAAAAAAAAAAGAAAGAAAAAAAAAGGCTAAAAAAAGACAGTATAGTTTGTCAAAAAAAATCATGGTATACTATGTCAAAAAAATTAAATAAAAATAACTTAAAAAAAAAAAAAAGCTGAAAAGTCATAGTAGTATGTCTATACTGTAATGGTATACTATGTCGAAAAACCTGCTAAAAAAGTCTTAGTATAGTATAGTTAACGGCTGTGTGTGTTCTGTGCTGCTGTCCCTTTTCCCTCCATTGTAGATCTGCCCAGGTGTGCTGTGTTCCTTAACAAGTTGCATTACATCTGGCATGGAGGAGGTGCTTAAGATCTCCTGTGCCAGAAGCAAAAGAGAGGCCTCTGATGTGGAGACTGCTGGTCCTGCTGCCTCTCAGAGGCCGTTTACACGTTGCTGGCTATTTTCATAAACGGACATTTCACCGTCTCCGTTTTCAAAAAGATCTTCGTTTACACTTACCCGTGTATATATACACAAGAGCATGTCAAACCTGTAGGTGGCAGTGTAACGAGAAGCTCAAGCCTTCCATGTATCCATTGTCACCATAGCAACATAGGTCGCACTTTTGACACAGGCGCAAGTTCTGGCGCATACTGTGACGTCGACTGCCTATAACTCCGTTTATCTCCGTTTATCTCAGTTTACATGCAAACGCGCAACCGGAGTTTTCCAAAATCTCCACTCTGGCCAGAGTTTTTAGAAAGACTAGTTTTCAGAGCAGAGGTTTGTGTGTAAACGAAGGACACAAACGAAGGAAGATGTCTCCGTTTATCAAAATCACCGTGTACGTGTAAACGGCCTCTCAGCGTTGGATTTTTGTTGTCTTGTTTGCTGTCTTGTTTGCTTATTTATTTGTTAATAAATCCCATGGATTGGAGCGTTTTAAATGTGTCTTATGTGATTATTTTGGGTCAGTGATGGAGGTTTGTTCACCCTATAGGGCTGCCCAGGGGAGGGGCGTAACATACGGCAAAAACAGTACAAATAAATCATGTTATATGATGGCTTAAAAATGTACTTGTACAGTATGGCATAAAAAGTAGAAAAAAGTCATAGTATAGTATGTCACAAAAAAGTGCAAAAATTCATAGTATAGTATGTCGAAAAAGTGCTACAGAAGTCAGTATAGTATGTGTAAAAAAAAAAGTCATACTATAGTATGTTGAAAAAAACTGCTAAAAAAGTCATAGTATGTTGAAAGAAAGTCATAGTATAGTTTGCAAAAAAAACCTCATAGTATAATGTCAAATAAACTGCTAAGTTATACTATTTTATGTCTAAAAAAGTCATAGTATAATACGTAAAGAAAAAAGTGCTAATAAAGTCAGTATAGTATGTTTAAAAAGTGCAAAAAAAAGTCATAGTATAGTATGCTGAAAAAAGTCATAGAATAGTATGTTGACAAAAGTGAAAAAGTCAGTACAGTATGTGTAAAAAAGTGCAAAAAAAGTAATAGTATAGTATGTTGAAAAAAGTCATAGTATAGTATGTTCCAAAAAAGTGCAAAAAATTCATAGTATAGTATGTCAAAAAAAAAAAACCTGCTAAAAAAAAGAATCATGGTATAGTATAGTATGCTGAAAAAGTGCTAAAAAAGTCATAGTATAGTATATGTAAAAAAGTGCAGAAAAAAGTCATAGTATGATATGTAAAGAAAAAACTGCTAAAAAGTCATAGTATATGTTGAAAAAAGTCACAGTATAGTATGATGAAAAAACTGCTAAAAAAACCCCTCATAGTATAGTATGTCAAAAAATTCATAGTATATGTTGAAAAGTCACAGTACAGTATGTCGAAAAAAGTACCAAAAAAGTCATAGTATAGTATGTCAAAAAAGTGCTAAAAAAGTCAGTATAGTATGTCGAAAAAAGTCGTAGTTTAGTATGTTGAAAAAAGTGCAAAAAAAAAAAAAAAGTCATAGTATAATATGTTGAAAAAAAGTCATAGTATGGTATGTCGAAAAAAGTGCTAAAAAGTCATAGTATAGTATGTTCCAAAAAAGTGCAAGAAATTCATAGTATAGTATACCGAAAAAACTGCTAAAAAAGCCATAGCATAATATGTAAAGAAAAAAGTGCTAATAACATCAGTATAGTATGTTTAAAATGTGCACATAAAGTAATAGTATAGTATGTCGAACAAAGTCATAGTATAGTATGTTGAAAAAAGTGCTAAAAAAAGTCAGTATAATATGTGTAAAAAAAGTCATAGTATATTATGTTGAAAAAAGTGCTAAAAAAGTCATAGTACAGTATGTCGAAAAAAAGTCGTAGTTTAGTATGTTGAAAAAAGTGCAAAAAAAAAGTCATAGTATAATATGTTGAAAAAAAGTCATAGTATAGTATGTTGAAAAAAGTGCAAAAAAGTCAGTGTAGTATATCGACAAAAGTGCAAAAAAGTCAGTGTATTATGTGTAAAAAAGTGCAAAAACAAGTCAGTATAGTATTTCGAAAAAAGTCATAGTATAGTATATTGAAGAAAGTCATAGTATAGTATGTCGTCAAAAAACTGCTAAAAAAAAGCCATAGTATAGTATGTCAAAAAAGTGCAACAAAAGTCAGTATAGTATGTGTAAAAAAGTGCAAAAAAAGTCATAGTATAGTATGTCGAAAAAAGTCATAGTATAGTATGTCGAAAAAAGTGCAAAAAAGTCAGTATAGTATGTCAACAGAAGCGCAAAAAGTCAGTATATTATGTATAAAAAAGTGCAAAAACAAGTCAGTATAGTATGTCGAAAAAGTCATAGTACAGTATGTTGAAAAAAGTGCTAAAAAAGTCATAGTATAGTATGTCAAGAAAGTCATAGTATAATATGTTGAAAAAAGTCATAATATAGTATGTCAAAAAAGTGCAAAAAAGTCAGTATAGTATGTCAACAAAAGTGCAAAAAAAGGCATAGTATAGTATGTTCCAAAAAAGTGCAAAAAAATTCATAGTACAGTATGTAGAAAAAACTGCTAAAAAAATCATGGTATAGTATAGTATGCTGAAAAAAGTCAGAATAGTATGTTGACAAAAGTGCAAAAAAGTAATAGTATGATATGTAAAGAAAAAAACACTAAAAAGTCAGTATATGTTGAAAAAAGTCACAGTATAGTATGACCAAAGACTGCTAAAAATAACCTCATAGTATAGTATGTCAAAAAAGTCATAGTATATGTTGAAATGTCACAGTACAGTATGTCAAAAAAAGTCATAGTATAGTATGTCAAAAAAGTGCTAAAAAAGTCAGTATAGTATGTGTAAAAAAATCATAGTATGTTGAAAAAAGTCAGTGTAGTATGTCGACAAAAGTGCAAAAAGTCAGTATATTATGTGTAAAAAAGTGTAAAAAAAAGTCATAGTATAATATGCTGAAAAAAGTCATAGTTCAGCATGTTGAAAAAAGTGCAAAAACAAGTCAGTATAGTATGTCAGAAAAAAGTCATAGTATAGTACGTTGAAAAAAGTGCTAAAAAAGTCAGTATAGTATGTCAAGAAAGTCATAGTATAATATGTTGAAAAAAGTCATAATATAGTATGTCAACAAAAGTGCAAAAAATGTCATAGTATAGTATGCGTAAAAAAACTGCTTAAAAGGTCATAGTATAATACGTAAAGAAAAAACTGCTAAAAAAGTCAGTATATGTTGAAAAAAGTCATAGTATAGTATGTCGTCAAAAAACTGCTAAAAAAAGTCATAGTATAGTTTGTCAAAAAAGTCATAGTTTAGTATGTTGAAAAAAGTGCTAAAAAAAGTCATAGTATGTCAAAAAATCAGTATATGTTAAAAAAAGTCATAGTATAGTATGTCGAAAAAAGTGCTAAAAAAAGTCATAGTATAGTATGTCATAAGTCATAATATAAAATGTTGAAAAAAGTCATTGTATATGGTATGTCGAAAAAAGTGCAAAAAATGTCATAGTATAGTATGTCGAAAAAAGTCGTAGTTTAGTATGTGTAAAAAAGTGCTTAAAAAAAGTCATAGTATAATATGTTGAAAAAAGTCATTGTATCGTCAAAAAAACTGCTAAAATAAGTCATAGTATAGTATGTAAAAAAAGTCATAGTATAATATGTTGAAAAAATTCATAGTACAATATGTCGAAAAAACTGCTAAAAAGGTCATGGTATAGTATGTCAAATAAAGTGCAAAAAAACGTCAGTGTTGAAAAAGTACAAAAAATCATAGTATAGTATGTCAACAAACCTGCTAAAACAGTCATAGTATAGTATGTCAAAAAAGTGCTAAAAAGTAATAGTTAATTATGTCAAAAAAGCTGCTTATGTGGAAAAAAGTCATGGTATACTATGTCGAAGAAACTGCTTAAAAAAGTCATAGTATAGTACGGCAAAAAAGTAGAAAAGGTCATAGTATAGTATGGCATAAAAATGTCATAATATAGTATGGCATAAAAGTAGGAAAAAAAGTCCTAGTATAGTATGCCATAAAAAGTCATAGTATAGTATGGCAAAAAAAGTCATAGTAAAGGATGGCACAAAAAGTAGAAAAAGTCATATTGTAGTATGGCATAAAAATGTCATAGTATAGTGTGGCAAAAAAGTAGAATAAAAGTCATGGTATAGTATAGCAAAAAAAAAAAATAGAAAAAGTCGTGGTGTTGTATGCCATAAAAAGTCATAGTATAGTATGGCAAAAAAAAAAAAGTCATAGTAAAGGATGGCACAAAAAGTAGAAAAAGTCATGTTGTAGTATGGCATGAAAATGTCATAGTATAGTGTGGCAAAAAAGTAGAAAAGGTCATAGTGTAGTATGGCAAAAAAAAAGTCATTTAAGTATGGCAAAAAAACAGAAGAAGTCATAATGGCATAAGAAAGTCAGTATATTATGTCAAAGAAAGTAGAAAAAAAGTCATAGTATAGTATGGCATAAAAGTGTCATAGTGTAGTATGGCATAAAAAGTAGAAAAAAGTCAGTATAGTATGCCTTAAAAATGTCATAGTAGGCATAAATATACAACACCTAAAACCTTCAATTTTCATGTCATACTGGTTAGTAAGATAGTAACTGCCTCTGACATCCTAGTGTTACTTTTGAAGATTTGTTTGAAGATTGTTATGAAATTAAAGTGGCCACAACTCCAGCGGGACCATGAATGGACAAATCATTAACAGGATTAAATACACTTTAAGTCAAAGACTAATACTTACAGAATCAGAGAACCAACGATTAGGAATGAAAGGCCTCTGCTGCTCCACGCACACCACCTTCCTCATGTCCTCAAAGCTGGGGTCATTTGGCACCTGATCATAGAACGGAGGCTTGTACTCCTCAACAATACCTGGAGAGTCAAATTGAGATGACAGAAATGAGTCCAAGTAACTGGAGCAAGAGGATCAACTTGTGGTAAATCAGGTCTACCTGCTAACAGCATAATAGTAAATAAGAGTAAATAATAAAATTTAAAGGCGGTTGTTTACTATGTGAATATGCACTAAATGCATGTCACTCACCATTGCTGTATGTGCGTCTTGCTATCTCCCACAGCACCAGCCCAAAGGCCCAGATGTCCACTCTCTTATAGGCATCAAAGCAGTCTGTCTGAATGGTCTCGTCCAGCACTTCGGGTGCCATGTATCGCTTGGTGCCAACCTTCGGATTGTTGCCCACATCCAGCAGGTTGTCTGCCTGGGAGTGGGTCACAGCCAGCCCTGTAACATGCAGTTATATACAATATTTTAGTAGGACTTACACATGAGTACACACTAGGTAAAAGATGGACAGATACAGATGCTGGTTGCCAAATATTAAGTATTTGTTAAATATGAGATAACTGTTTGAATTACTAATTGTTCTTACACGAGGAAGTCAAATGGAATTTCATTGTACATTTTGTGTAATGGCAATGAAGATTCATTCATTCATTCATTCATTCAGTCATTTATTCAGATGGGGGAGGACCATAAATCTTCCTACTCCTTCTCGGACATGTAAATATTTTTATACTGTTTATGTTCTTTATGAGAATTTGTACACTGAGAGTTTACTGTTCATTTAATTGTTATTCTTGTTTTTTTCTTTCTTTAATTTTCAAAATAAATCGAATAAAATTCAAACTAGAATTACAGGTCACAGTGGTCTTGACCTTCGACCACAAAATTATAACCACTTTTATCATCAAGTGCAAGTGGACATTTGTGCCAAATTTGAAGAAATTCCCCCAAGGCGTACTTGAGATATACATTCATGAGAATGAGACGGACAAGGTCATAGTAACCTTGACCTTGGACCAATGACCACCAAATTCTAATCAATTTATCCTGGAGTCTAAGTGGATGTTTGTGCCAAATTTGAAGTAATTTCCTACAGGTGTGCTTGAGATATCCCCTTCACAAGAATGAAAGGTCACAGTGGCACTGACCTTCGACCACCAAAATCGAATCAGTTCATTCCTCAGTCCAAGTGCACAGTTGTACCAAATTTGAAAAAATTCCCTCAAGGTTTTCTTGAGATATCATGTTCACCAGAATACGTAAGGACAATGTGAAAACATAGTTTCTCTGGCCACGGCTGTCGTCAATATGGAGCCGGCATGTAAATATGTTTTCCTGTGAGTGCTATTAAAAAATGTAGCAGACAGAAACAAGTAAATCTTGTTTATCTGAAGTGTGAAGTACAGGACAAATGGCTGATAACAACAAGGGTCTGAAAACCCAAAGACAAACAGATTTATGTCACGACTAGAAGAAAGTGAAATACTGGACTGACCGAGGTCTGCGATGCAGCAACGCAGCTCCTTAGTGACGAGGATATTTTTGCTCTTCAGATCCCGGTGTGCAATGGCCGGTTTGCCCTCGGTGCCGAAGATCTCCGTGTGCAGGTGCACCAGGCCGCAGGCTATCGACGCCGCCATGGCCAAGCCCTCTGATGTCTCCACGGCAACTCGCTGCAAGTAGTCATAAAGCGAGCCGTTCTCATGGTAATGGGTGATGAGCCACAGCTGGGTGCTGGAGTTGCGAGAAGTCATGTCAGATGCCATGAAGCCTGGGGAGGAGAGACGGAGAAGGCGGCAGACAGACCAACACGACAGATGAGAAATAAAACAAGATCATAAAACTATGTATAGTTTATTTATTTGCTTTTACACTGGATTGCATTATATTACACAGGTGTTTATTGCATTCAACTCTGTGTAACTGTTTTTTAAACATAGAGGTGTTAAAGGGTAACTTATTTTGAGTCATTCCCACAGACATCATCTCTCTGCTGTACCAGAGCAACAAATCCTCAGCTAAAATTTGTTCTGTTGGAGTAATGTTTGTTAGAAAATACCATGTCCAGTTGTTTTGGGAAATCTGTATCACCAAACTTATTATGTGTGACTTGATTTTGAGATTCGCGTCTTCCGTGGAAACAAATATGCTTCAGGCTGAGTGCCACAGACAGGCCAGGGAAATCTTAAAGTACTGAGAGACAGACCATCACATTGTTGGTTCTGGTCTTTTTATGGGATTTATTAACAGTAACAGTAATATAAAATATCACCAAATTATGGAAAGGATCCCGACAGAGATAGACATCTTTGTTAAAGAGTAAGATCCTTTTTGTTTAACCAGAAACAGCCCTGAAATTGCAATCACCAAACACACCAGACTCCATTGAAATAAACAGTAATTTTATCATTGTAAAACACACTTCATTCAAAGATGACAAAAACTAAATAATACTCAAAAAAAAGTGGTCTTGGTTGGTCTTTCCACTCTTTTTCACTTTCAAACTCAGGTTGGTTGAAATAAACTCTTGATTCAGATGTGAAAATATGCTGCTCTATACAGGCTAAAATAACTGTTTATTTAAATGGAGTCTGGCTGGTTTGGTAATGATGATTTCGGGGCCATTTCTGGTATAACAAAAAGGATCTCGCTCTTAAAAAAGGTCTCTGTGGGGTTCCTTTTCATTATGTTAGACACTTATATACTTATATATAAGACAGACATTTACAAGATATATTAACTATTTTCTATGTGACAATGCTAAAACCATAATCTTTGATTGGAATGGCTGCAGTGGAGACAATGGGGAAATTACATCTTTTACAATGAGAAATATGCTTTGTCTTCATCAACCTTTTCCCCCTTTGCACCAACTGGTGTCACAAGAGCTACATTTTTGTGTGTATCAGACTCACCCAGTATGTTTTCATGTCTTAGCAGCACAGTGTTGTAGATCTCTGTCTCCCTGAACCAGGACTTCTCATCTCTTGAGGAGAAGATTTTCACAGCCACGTTCTCCCCCTGCCACTGGCCCCGCCACACCTCTCCATACCTTCCTTTGCCTGGAAACGAGAGATGAGGAGGAAACAGAGAGATGTCAGGATTTAGAAATTTAAAAAGTGCTTTTAGGATATTTTCGTATCATTTTACGGCAACGTTCACACTGCAGCTGACTTGGTCTGAAAACAGAGCTGATGTTTCCACATCAACAGCATGAAGCTGCACAAAGGCACATTTTTCCAATTCCAAACTGGTGCGAACTGTTACTGTGTGGTGCTAAACAGGATCTCCAGGCTTGTGACCTACATACTTTATTTGGGCACTTAAGTTTGCCAGTCAAGAAATTTGCCAGAGTTGCCATGATAATTAGTAAACCTTGTATCACCAGCTTAAGACAGCTCTCCTACTTCTGAAGACAACAACACAAAGAATGGAAAGACAAGGAAACACAACTTGTGTTTCGACAGTTGCTGTAAATGAGTCAAAATGATGTGACCTGCTATCCTCACATCATCTGTTTGACATCGCTAGAATAACTACAGTGATTCAAAACACTGATATCAGCTACAGACTGAAACTGAGTCTAGGCAAGACTGACTCATGATGACAGTTTGCTCTCAGTGTAAGTAAAATAATCTGCAATGTAGGCTACTTGTAGATTTTTCTTTTTGTTTTGAATCATTCTGTTTAATATGTCATATGTTATATAAATATGCCGCTAGTTGTGACATGAATTACTACCTTCATAAGGTTCTAATTAAATGAGTTGATTGATAAAATCAGTTTCCCAATCGAACAGACCTGAATCTGACCTACAGACGTGCTGTGATGTGTTGTTAATGGTGGCCAACAACAACAAATGTGGTAAAGTAACCCAAAAAATTTCCATCAGGAGAGATGAAATGATGCCATTAACAAAAATAGATACGAAAATCCAAAACAAATACAACAGAAACATGCTGCAAATGAAAAAAATGTGCTGCAGAAAGCCTAAACAAACACATTGACAGCAAACATACATCAAATACAGTAACCACGCAAAGTCAAAAACACAGAAAAAAACCCCCCAAAACAAATGCAACAGAAAAACACTGCACATCCAGTCAACACAGTGGAAGTTCTCCAGGCCTCTAGGGGGAGCACTACATGGAACAGCTTGATTGTTTTTAGTGTAGAGGGAGAGGGACCAGACAAGGGAGTGTGTGTGTGAAGAAAAAAATGGGGAGTGCTGCATTGGGTCAAGACAGTAAGTGTAGGTGATTGTAAAAAAAAAAAAAAAAAAAATCAGGCTCTTCAAGGAGAGGGCACGTACCTACACACTCCATCAGGCTGATCTGCCTGGCCACAGTTCTCTGGACGAGGAAGGGAAGACCTGAACCACTGCCTGATGTGCACGAGTGGTCCAACAGGTCCTAAAGACAGTCACACAGATTAGCTGAGCATGCTACAATATTCAGAAGAAGCATCACATTCAGGTGCAAGGCTACTGGAATTCAGCGCTGACAAAGATCTTACTGGGAAGGAAACTTTGTCTATTTATTAAAAAAAGTGTGGTTTGGAGTCAGTGTGTAGGCAACACTATTTCTGTGCAGCAGACTTTGGGGCCTAATTAAGGCAAAAATAGCAAGAAATAACTGGAGGTTATGGAAGAGTTATGACCAAAACACCACAATGCTGGGGTTAAATCAAGGCGCCTGCAAGTTTCACTAATTAGATGGTTTTATACACCTTGTGAATGCCAATTAAAATAGAATTATATGACAGATTTTATTCACTAGGGGGAAAAATTGAAAGCAGGTTTTGTTCTATCACATGTAAATGAATTCAATGTCTCCATCGAGGACCAGCGCACCATAAAACCATATTAGACATTTCAAACATGAAATTGCAACACAAAAAGCAGTATTTAACTCAGCATCATTTAAGGCCATGCATTTAGATCAAACAAATAACCATCCTTCATCACGTCTTGTAGATAACCTTAAAAACTGAAAGTTGATGAATGTAAGCATAAGTTTGCACAACTGAAAATAATTTCTGGGAGGGGAACACTTTGCTAATCCAGATGTAACACACTACTAAGGCTCGGAGTGAGCAGAACAAGTGAGAACGCAATCTCTGTTCATTGTTTTTAACAAGAACCTCTCTTGTTCTTACCGCTAAAGTGCTGTCTCCCACATTGGAGGTGATGAGGCCGTCTATGGCTCCCTGCTCAGTGTCAAACTCCTGCAGCCTCTGCAGACGACCGTGATGGAGCCTCCTGCAGGCCAGAACTGACACTACAGACAGCAGAACCAGGACCACCACTGGACCGAGTACAAAGAGAGCTAAGGTCTCCACACGATAGGGAACTGGCTCGCCTTCTGGGACTGTGGACAAAAGGGAGAAATTATAAAATGTAAAGTCTTTATGCTTCTCAGATCATTTAACAGACGGCTACAGAATATAATTAGTCTATTTGAGAATTCTCTTCATTATCAGAATGAGGCATGTTATGATCTACCACCAACCTGATGGAAGCAGCGCAATCAGCGAACTCCTGGTGGTGTTGCCGTTGCACATGTCCTGAGAGCAGCAGAAAATGACATGGTGGAAGGATGGAGCTGTGGAGCATTGCAAATTGATTTTCTCTGGATCATCCATGCAGCCATGGTCAAACACCATCCCGCTGCTGCCCACTTTGACCGAGGAGAAGCACCGGGTACCGTGGCACTGGGTGTCCTGGAGGCATTTTGGGCTATCACACAGACACACCAATAGTCCATCTGTGGAGGAGAAGATATGAGTTCAGCATACACTCACGCTGTTTCGCAGTGCATAGAGACACACTGTTGACTTAATTAAGGCAGCGAGCCGACACCAAGACTTCCATCTCACTCAAACTAGCACGATACCCATCTGGCAAAACATAACTATAGGACAGATAAGCAGCAATGGGCACTGTGGTCACCCTCAAGCAGTTGCCACTAGGAGGGACGGACTTATACTGCACCCAAAATTAAGTTTGTGTTAGCCATAAACAAACATGATCAATAAAACAAATCCTCCAGTTTTCCCCATTTTAATTTTATTCATTAGCCAAGATCTGCCAAGTGTATGACTCACTGTTAAACTGCACTTTAATTTCAGCAATTTTTTGCAGTGGAGATTCATTATTGTTGGAATAATTGATCATAAAGCTCCTGTAAGACAGACACGTTTGTTTTTGTTTTTCTTTACCTGTAAGCCAAGTTCACGTACTGTGTTTGTCCTGTCTCACGTAACTCTAGATTCATGTTTTACTCAAAAACATCCAGAAAACTCAGTAAACCTGTTATCTGGAACAGAATGTGTTGATCTACCTAGTACATAATACAGCATACTATTGCCATATTGATGCATGGAAGCCAAGTATGTATCTTTTATTATAGACATTATCAATTTTTGTAAATAAACATTTTAATACAACTTTTGGTACTAGAACAATACAATGAATTTCTTATCTGTTTACTAGATAGTGCTGATGGGTTTTTTTTCCTGATGAGGAAGGAAGTTAATCAAAACAAAGATGGAAGCACCAGAGAATTGGATAAGACACACGTGATTTGCAAGCAGTGTCCTATGAGAATAAAATACTCTGGGAATACTACGAACATGAGGACTCACCTCACACTCCATCATCCAGAGATAGTGTTAGCTGCTGATGGCCAAGCTAATGCTAAACCCGTGCTGCCGAAAAATCAACAAACACTGCACACACTTAGCTTGACAAAACTACCATCCAACTCTGAGAGAGCCAAGAGAGTCCATCATCTACTTCATGTGCAAAGATCTGCATCGAGACAGTGCTGATGAAAACAAAGGCTTTTGCTACATGTGAAAAACACTCGCACCCAGGTATGTGACTCTGTCCTGATGTATTTTCACTAACACAGCCGTACCCAAGCTCTATAGAGAAGTGAACCTAAAGTTGAGGAATCTTTGATTAAAGCAGGAAGGGTGGTGTTAACTTCTGACACTTGGACTTCAAGGTCAGTGGATTCATATGTGACTATAACGGCACGTTATCTTACAGAGGACTGGAGACTGCTGTCTCGTGTTCTCCAAACTACAACAGTACACAAAAGTCACACCTGAGCAAACATCCCAGACCTCCTGCAAAATGCAGGACAAGAATGGGGGATTGTGGTTGTAACAGACAACACTTCTAACATGGGTGTTGCCATTCAGTTAGTGGGATACCTGCATGAGTTTTGCTCATGCGCTTAATCTGGCCTCGCAGAGGGCGTTACCTGCCAACAGTTCAGTTTGTCAAGTGTATGCAGCATTTCTGACAGGTTTTATGACAGTGTGGTCAGTCTGTCTGCTTTTTGTCATTTATTGATATTTATTGAAGTCAGATGAACAGACTGAAAACTTTATCCTATGAGGCAAAATTGGTGTGACAAAGTTTTCCTTCAGGCAAATAATTTGCAGTTGGAAAAAAAGCCAATAAATCGCAATGTATCGCGATACTCAGCATATCGAAATAATATCGTATCATGGGTCCTCTGGTGATTCCCACCCCTACTATCTAGCCAATAAGAGCTAGGGAAAGGTGGGGAGAGGAAACATTCAAAGTGATTCAAATGGGGGATGCTTTTGTCCAAAGCAATGTACAAATGAGGTATAATACAAGCCACTGCAGATGCTCAACACCCAGTTCCATCTGACACAAGTGTCACAAGATGCATAAAGTAAGTGCACAGAAAATAAAAATTATCTGGGGAGCGAGAGATAGAAAGAGAGAGCGCATTAGTTGAGAAAGTACTCTCAGAAGAGGTACATAGGTCTTCGAGCAATTCTTGAATGAAGAGAGTGATTCTGCTAAACCAAATACCAACCAAATTGCAGAAACCAAATATATTACAAATGTGTAAACACCATTTACATCTAATTAGTTGTAGCTGTTATGATGCACACACTTTTTTGTGGTGCGGCTGTTGCTGTGATTCACTGTAAATTTGGGTCAGGTTTATATATTTCTAGGAAACTGTTATGTTTTGGTGACCTTGCAGAGCTCTGCAATGTGACACTGTCAAATAGTTACATGGTGCAAAAATGCCACAAAGTCTGAAAGCATCTTAAATCTTTGCTAAGCTCCGAACTCCATGATTTTCCACCGAGAGATGGGTGATAATAGCTAAACAATTCTCACTAAAAATGATAGCTGCCAGCTATACACATTACTCATCAGCGTCTGAGTGCACAGCAAGAAAAGACAACAGATAAGATCGCAGTCTGAAAACAAGAAAACAACAAAACACAAAGAGGAGACAGAACTGAGCACAGTACCTGGGCCCTCAGCTGATGTCTGCAGGGCCTGCAGCAAGAGCAGCAGAAGGACGTGGACACTGCAACGACCCATGTTTCAGTGCACTGGCAGAGGGAGGGAAGAGGAGCCAGAGAGGGTTCAAATGAGTACACAGTGGCAAAGATAATTACATTTGCCTCCTCTATGTATTCTGATGATCCCTGCCAAGGCATCCGACAGAAAGGAAACAACAACTCATAATGGCTGATTGCTATTAGCACTCTGTCTCTGTCAAAGCTTTGTTTAAAACACATGACTGATTGTGGAATAAACAGCAGCAATTTCAAAGACCTGGAATATGATTCAACAGTTAATTTAGAAAGTTAAATGTCTTTACCCTCACACAATATAATAATGTGGTTTGTTCTTAAGCTGTTAATTAACAAGCTAGATATTATTTTGAGGGGAACATTTACTCTACTGTAGCTGCTCCTCTGCAAGCTAACATTTAATGTAACATAGGCAACAACTAGCATAATAATACCAATCCGCTAACAGCTAACACCTCACATTTCAATGTCACAGCCTCTGGTTTTGACTTCAAGTGTGCGACCAAGCAAAGCTATCAGCAATTCCCCTTTGTAAACCTCCCAGACTGTGTGCCCGGTTGTTTGCTGTAGCTAACAGGCCATTAACGAGCGGTTTTATTGGCCGTCCACAGGCGCCTCGGAGGCGCCAGCCAGACAGACGGCTGCCCGGTGCTGCTGTTAGCCCTTTAAGCTAAGCTAGCTGCAAAGCACAAAGCGCAGCCTGTCAGCGGCGCGAGGACTCCCAAAACAGAGCGATAAAAAATACCCACCTACCTGGCACACACGATATACAGCCTCTAACTCATCCTGTCAGGTTTGTGTATTCATATATGAGGTTTGAATATTCGTAGAAGAGCAATTCGCGATGTAAAAAGCCGAAAGCAGGACCACAGCCCAGCCCACCCACTGGCTGTCTTCCCTTCAGCTACAATGACGTCACCAAAACATTATCACCGAGATGCATTGTGGGGCGGAGGAGTCCTCCAACAGGTTGTAGGCAGAGATGAACATAACATCAGATATGTCTGGGTAAATTATCTTGTTAGGACAATTTATGGGAACGAAACATGAATAGATTTTTTCCTCTATGGCACATCTACTCAGGAACTGTATTTATTCACTACTAATGAGAACAGTTTTAAGCTCTGGCACCTTATAGTGTTTTCATTTTTCCAACTTTAGTAACTATTGTACTATTATTTATTAAGCTATATACATGTCAAATGGCGAAAGAAGTATTCAGATACTTAGCAAAAAGAAAAAAAAACACTTTGTTAATAGCACATCTTTGCATTCAAAATGTTATTATTATTATTATTATTATTATTATATAAATGTTATTTATTATTATGACTGTTAAGCAGCTTTTTAGTAATGCTGTATCTGGTCAAGGTGGAGAAAAATTTTACTTGCTTTAAAACTGCTGGCAGCTTAATCTACAAAACTACAGTATATGTTATAAACTAAACAATATTTCACTGACATGTAGTTAAGTAGATGTATGAAATTAAGAGATCCTCAAGGATCTCGAGGCGCAGCCGGGGGAGGAAGGGGTCCGGTTTGGGGACCTCAGAATTGCATTCCTGCTTTTCTCAGATGATGTAGTTCTGTTGGCTCCATCACTCCATGACCTCCAGCATGCACTGGAGCGTTTTGCACCCGAGTGTGAAGCAGTTAGGATGAGAGTCAGCACCTCCAAGTCTGAGGCCATGGTCCTCTGTCGGAAACCGGTGGTTTGCCCTCTCTGGGTTGGGGGAGAGTTACTGCCTCAGGCTAGGGAGTTCAAGTATCTCGGGGTCTTCTTCACGAGTGAGGGTAGAATGCCGTGAGATGGATCGGCAGGTCGGTGCGGCTTCTGCAGTGATGCAGGTGCTGCGCCGGTCCATCGTGGTGAAGGGGGAGCTGAGCCAGAGAGCAAAGCTTTCAATTTACTGGTCCATCTACGTCCCAACCCTCACCTATGATCATGAGCTCTGGGTAGTGACCGGAAGAATGAGATCGCTGATACAAGAGGCGGAAATGAGTTTCCTCCGTGGGGTGGCTGGGCTCAGCCTTAGAGATAGGACGAGGAGCTCGGACATCCGGAGGGAGCTCGGAGTAAAGCCGCTGATCCTTCGCGTCGAAAGGGGTCAGTTGAGGTGGTTCGTGCATCTGATCAGGATGCCTCCAGGGCGCCTCCCGCTGGAGGTGTTCCGGGCACGTCCCACTGATAGGAGGCCCCAGGGCAGACCCAGAACACACTGGAGGGATTATATATCTCGTCTGGCTTGGGAACGCCTTGGGGTCCCCCAGGAGGAGCTGGAAAGTGTTGCCGGGGAGAGGGATGTCTGGGGTGCTTTGCTCAGCCTGCTGCCCCCGCGACCCGGTCCCGGATAAGCGGATGAAAGTGGATGGATGGATGGATGGATGGATGAAATTAAAAAAGGCATAAAATTAACATTTTTCAAGTGAAGTACAAGTACCTCAGAATTTTACTGTAATGATTTAGTACAAAACTGGGACTCAGTTGCAGAGAAAAACCCCAAACACCAAGAACAGTTTATCAAATCCAGATCTTTACCCAGGAGGCCAGAGGTCATACTCATGAAGGCAGTAAGCAAAGGCAGCAAAATCTATTCAGGGAAATCACACAAAAATGCAAAGTCCAGAAATAGAACCTTCCCAACAGATTGCCATATTTGGTGTACCTGAAGCTGGCAAAAGTGTGTCCAAAATACAAGCAAATGTAGTCTCATTTACCTCTTTAATAGCTCGTCGGAGAGTACTCTTATTATTATGCCCCCATCTCCTATTTCATGGCTGCGTCATATGATGTATTTCTTGGAGTTGGAAAAGATCAAATTCTCCATAAGGTGCTCAACAGATACATTTTATAGCAACTGGCAGCCCCTGATCAATCATGTAAAGAGCCTGACCTCTCTTTCCCCGGAATGACCATCTGGACGAGATGATCAACAGAATATTGACAACGCACTGCAGTGGCCCATACATGTACACTTGTCCCTTTCTTTCTCCCTTTTGCTTTACATTAATGTACCTCAGTCATTATTCCTAATATTAACTGATATGTTGCTGTTCTTATTGCAGTTCCTCAACATCATATGAGGGGGGGTAGGAGGGGGTAGGTGCGGGGTCATTGTTGGAAAAACCCATGTCACTAAATGATTTTGTGACTGTTCCTAAAATGCTAATAAGATATGTTTAAAAAAAAAAAGCAAAGTCCAGAAATCAAAGCAGAATCAAAGGAATCAAACACGAGGAAAAGGCCGGAGAGCATGAAAACACAAAGGCAACACTGGACTTTAAATATACAAAGGCTGTTTGCCAACTACACACAGATGAGCGGAACAAGACACAGGTGAAACACATGAGTTAACCAACAAAGGCGGGAAAACTCAGGAAGTAAAAGAAACACTAAACACAATGAGAACAAATTTCAAAATAAAACAGGAACCGGACACAAACACATGAACATAAACCTGACAGAATATCAAATCTACTTAAATACAGTACTTGAGTGCTTTGTTAGTTTGCACCATCGCCTTTGTCTAGTTAGTTGGTACTTACATCATTGAGTTTTATTAATTTGCACAAGAAAAAAATCAAACAAACGACCTGAATAGTTGAGAAAATGAATGTGCAGGAAGAGGGAAGTGATGTGCAATACTTCATAAATAACATACTTGTATGACTAAGATTTGAATGACACTATCAGGAAAAAGGATATCATTAATGACTTCATATGTATCACTCAGTGGCCTAAATATAGACTCAGAGGAGGAGTGGTGTAGCCTGTGAGCGTGTCCCCTCAAAATACAAAGTGTATGACTCAGACAACTTTAAAAGCTTCAGGGAATTTTAGGGAGAAGTCACAGAGTATCCTGAAATCTTTTCGTTATCTTACAGTCCAGTCTGTGTGGGTAAGCATTCACATGGCCATCTCATATCACGCACAGCTCCATGGATATCTGGAAACAAGACAGACAGTGATTACAGCAGCCAGGATCAGTTCCAAGTGTGTCAATAAATAGTCTCCCCATATAAGACATGAGATTAGTAACTACCAATACTGACTGATAGCGTCATAAAACTCCTATCATTGGTCAGTTTCTCAACATAATGGTCTTGTTGAGCATTTTTATAGCATACTAACTTCCAGTGTGTAAACACTCTTGTTTTTTGTCTGTTTTTATGCCCACTTAAATGTGAAAATGTCTTTGGATGACTGAAGTTACTTTTTTTGACAGGTGCAGGGCCGAACATCATGGTTACTGTCATTCTCTGTGATAGACAGCTGCACAGAGAGTTGGCACACTGACGTTTTAGCTAAATTTAGTTCAACGCTTGATTTTCTGTGAATCATCCATCAGAGTGTTTTTATCATATGAGTTAGTGTCTGTTTATTCTGAGTGACAGCCTGCATTAATCCAGGATCACTATTTGCATGAAAGATAAATGCTTCTGTGCTACAGAGTAAATTATGTGCATTTGCAAATCAATTTGTATTTTTGTGGACATGACTTTACCCAACACAAACATAAAGAGACATGTTTGTGGCAGCATAGTTGTGAAGTGTTTAGCATTGTTACCTCACAGCAAGAGGGTTTTCCGGTTTGAACCCGGGTTAGGAGGCTCAGAGCCCTTCTGTGCGGAGTTTGCATGTTCTCCCTGTGTCAGTGTGGGTTTTCCCTGGGTGCTCCAGCTTCCTCCCACAGTCCAAAGACATGCAGGTGGATTGGTGACTCTAAATTGTCCGTAGGTGTGAATGAGAGTGTGAATGGTTGTCTGTCTTTATGTGATAGTCTGGTGACCTGTCCAGGGTGTACCCTGCCTCTCACCCAATGTCAGCTGGGATAGGCTCCAGCCCCCCCTTGAGAGGATAAGCAGTTAAGAAAAATAGATGGATGGATGAAATAAAGAACAAGTATCTCAGAATTTTACTGTAACGATTTAGTATAAAACTGGGACTCAGCTGCAGAGAAAAATACCAAACACCAAGAACAGTTTATCAAATCCAGATCTTGACTGGGGAGGTCAGGGGTCATACTCATGAAGGCAGTCAGCAAAGGCAGAAAAATCTGTTCAGGGAAATCACACAAAAAGCAAAGTCCATGAATCCAAGCAGAGTCAAAAACCAAGGAATCAAACACAAGGGGTGCGTTCTGAATCACATACTTTTTCTTTTTACTTTTAGTTACTTTACTTTTTACTTTTAGTCAGTGTGGGTTTTCTCCAGGTACTCCGACTTCCTCCCACAGTCCAAAGACATGCAGGTTAATTGGTGACTCTAAATTGTCCGTAGGTGTGAATGTGAGTGTGAATGGTTGTTTGTCTCTATGTGTCAGCCCTGTGATAGTCTGGTGACCTGTCCAGGGTGTACCTCAACTCTCGCCCAATGTCAGCTGGGATAGGCTCCAGTCCCCACCAAATATGGAGCGTGAACTAGTAGATGGAGAGGTGCCAGTTTGCCTCCCAGGTGAGCACAGTTTCACTCCAAAAGTTGTTGAAATCCAACGCTAGGGAAGTGACTTGCAGTGCAGAAACCAACAAAAAAAGGCATCCTTAAACGTTGGCATGATATGTAGCCAGTTGCTGTTATAGTTTACCGACACCTGGCAGCATCGGGGGAAACGCGGCAGGACAAGGACAAGAGTTAAGGCAGCGAGAGAGAGGTGTTCACGTCCCATTAGATTCTAAAGCCAAACTCTGTTCTTTATTCCTAAACCTAAGCATGTGTTTTTGTTTCTTTAACTCAACCATGTGTGTTTGTTGTTGAAGGAAAATTCACAGTGTTGTACCGATGTAGTGCGTTCATTTTGAGAGAGACTCTATGTAAACGTTAAGTTTCCTGTGAAAATAAAAGTGTATCTTGAAAGACGAAAACTTGACACGGCTTCCCAGAATGTCAACAACTAACTCACCCAGGGTACCTTGCGCATCCTATATGGACGTAGAAAGTCCATGACCAAACATCAGGCAGCCTCCCTACTGTATACCCAAAGACAGCTCCTGGATTTCCATATAACCACTTAAAAATGAGCAACAATAAACAGCATAGCTTTGTGATAGGACTTTCACTTAGGTAGGTCTTCACAGTAAAGCCATTACAATAAACTAGATTACACCAATGCTGACAACCACCGATAATGCCCATTCAATCTACTGATACCAGTCAGAATGGCTGCAGAAGAGCAGTGATGCTATTTCACCCAGCAAATATTGACTGAGGCTGGTTTTTAGATACTAAACAAAATTGATTATGAGATGAGAAGTGTTATCTCGGTGGCTCCCTTATAGAGAGCCCTGTTTGCTCCCACTGTATTTCAGTCTGAATGCTTGTGCTTCCTTGCCCCGTCACCCATGCATGCTGAGGATCATATACCGCTTCCCCCAACAACGAGCTCTCCTTCTCTCAAGACCCTCATGAAAACTAAGATGGCCCTTCATCTCCTGAGCAGCCATGCAGGTCTGCCATCCCATAACACTGCAACTAAAAGGTGGATTAGAGGATGAGTTCATTTTAGTTGACTGTTTGACAAACTCTGCCAGTTTCGATTTATTTGACTCTTGGTTCTGTGGCTGTACAGAAAAATGTGTGTGTGTGTGCGTGTGTGTGTGTGCAAAGAGACAGAAAAGGGAGAATTGTATCAAGTAGCAGATATGTTTTCCTCCACTGGCTCCCGTGGCCGCCAACAATAGCCAGCGCTGTTTGTTCTTGCTTACCTGGGGCTTTAGTCTCCAGTGAGTCGGAGCAAGACCCAGCCAGTATCTATTCTCCACGAGCACAGCTCCGGCACAGAGACACATTGTCCCAAGCTTTTTTAATTAAAGACCCCGGGTCAACACTCTGTGCCAGGTGACCTGAACTGCTCCGAGCCTGCGTGTGTCTACCACTATCCTCTCCACTGGGGATAAGTCTCAGTGGATAATTGGAGGTGGAAACGCTATACTGCTATCATGAGATGGAGGAAGGATTATCTACCGAGGACTTCGACTTAAGAGGAGGGGATAGAGGAATAATGTTGTTTTCTTCCTTCCACAGTCAGCCTACCTGCCTCATTCTCCCACCTTTTACCCTCTCTCCCCTTTCTTACTCAGGACCAGGTTACAACAGAGGGAGGGGGGAGCAGAGTTAGTTTTTTCAATGAAATCCACCTGCTCCTCATCTCTGTTGTATTAGACAGATGGACCCAAGCAGGCTTCGTACCAGAGTCATCATGGAGCGTCTAGAGAGAAGACTGCCTGGAGCTTTCCTCCTCCTTCTGCCGCTTCTGTCCGTCAGCTGTGTCACCAACACAAAAACTACAGGTACATCCAAAATAATGCCAGGAAATGTTGAACAGACTTGTCATTAACACGTATAGTTTTGCAGGTGCAGTGTATGTGTTCTTATCTACACTATTATATTCTCACTTTAACTTTCGACTCTCCCTCGCTGTTCTCTTCAGTCTCCTGGTGTGTGCTGTCTGACGCTGAAGAGCAGAAGTGTCTGGATTTGGCCGGGAACGCCACAGCTCGGAATATTAGAGGACATTTAGAATGTGTCCGCGGCCTGAACACCAGAGACTGTATAGACAAAATCAAGGTACCTGGAGAAAAAGGGATGTGGAAGTGCAATGTTTAGTCCGCATGACTATTCTCACCTGTATAAATTACTCAAAAAAAAAAAAAGAGTTTTTGTTGGTGTTGGTGAGGTTATAGACTTAAATATTCCACATGATCTTCAGCAGTTAATCTGGACAATTTTGTTTTATACCATCCCATAATGTCCATATCTTCATTAACTGGTCACATTTTGCTATTCAGACATTTCTGTAATTTATCTGTGGTAATTTTGTTAACAAGTCTAACATTTTTTTTAATCTACAGGTCATGTGAAATATTTCTAGCTGCATGAAACCAACAAAACAAGCAGCATGAATATTTGTTGCCATTTCAGACAATTTGGAATAACTCATGCCCTTTTGTCATTTAATACATTTGTATGTGCAATTGGATTGTTTAGTTTAATAAGGATGAATGAATCAGTCGGGTCTTGTCATTGTGCGTAGGTGTTCTAATATTTCTACATGGTACTGTGCATCTTTTATGTAATTTTATTGTGTCGTTGTTTGGCTGTAACATTTTGTGTGCAGCTATCTTGGTCCAGGTGTTCTTTGTAAAAGAGATTGTTGATCTCAACGGGACTTACCTGGTTAAATATGGGTTAAATAAATAAATAGTAAACTGAATTAGTTATAAATTAGTTTTAGTTTTAATTTAATTTTAGCACACATCTGAAGAAATTCTTAAAATTAGTTAAACCTTACCCTGAAAGTGAGTTTTTCTTATCATGCTATATTTAGTCTGTGGGCATGTGGGACTACTGTTTTTATTTATTTAGCCTACTTCATTATATTTTAGGAAAACGACAGTAGTCCCATGTTCCGAAACACTAAATATACTGTGATAAGAAAATGGCTGTATCTCGGAGCACAAATCACAAGTTGAATATCAAGATAAGATATGCACATACATCCAGTAGTGTTGTCACAACACTAAAATTTCTAACTTTGATATAATACCTTGAAAAATGTCAAAATTGAATACCATTTTTGATACCACGGGAAAAACTGACACAGAGGGCATTAAATTATTATTTTTTTTTATTAAAAAAATAAATATAACAAGGCCATGACATGATGGCAATGGCTTCTCTTTCTTGGTTTGTAACAGAATGACTGTAGTAAACATTTACGATGAGAGAACAAGTCCAGCTTCTAACAGCTTATCTATACTGGAAAAAATGACTATCGAAACAATTTCTAATATTAAAAATCTGTACTTGTATTTGCCAATACTAATATACAGTATAAAAACTATTTTATATGGAAGATATTTAAAAAAGTGTTTGCATTTTTCCTCATTTACAAAAATCCTGATTTTGACTTCTGACATGTTTTTTTTTTTTTCATGTGATCAAAAAATGTCAAAGTCATGCTGTTAGATAGTCACCCAAAGTGTGTCTGTACCACATTTCAAGACTTTCGTCCAATCAGAGCAAATGTTGTGGCTTTTTCTCCTCATCATACTAAATATAGACGTTGGGCACAAGTGGGTTAACAAAATAAATGTGTCTCTGTCAGAACGGGACGGCAGACGCAGCCTCCATGTTTGCTGATGACATCTACGCTGCTGGCCTCTGCCAGGGCCTGGAGCTGGCTGCAGGAGAGTCCCACAACGGAGTGGGTAAGTCACAGGTTTGAGCCTTGAGTATGTTCATCTTGCCGGACACATTATTCTTTGTGTCTGTATCTTTATTAATCATTTTCTTTTTTCCCCATGCTCCCCTGATCTGACAAATGATTCCCACATGCTTCCTCCAGATGGTGTTAGCTACTACGTGGTGGCAATGGCACGTCGCTCCTCATCAGACCTGTCCCTGCTGGAGATGCACGAGCGCAGTTCCTGTCACCCTGGCATACGTACCACGGTGGGGTGGACGGTTCCTATTGGCTACCTAGTCAACACCTCCCAGATCAGCGTAGGGGAGCAGTGCAACTTCCCCAAAGGTGAGAGCAAACAGGACGGGTATAGGGGAGAGATGGAGGCAGGGAAGGTGAGTGGATGTATGAGTGGATGTGTGTGACTGTGTGTGTGTGTGTGTGTGTGTGTGTGTGTGTGTGTGTGTGTGTGTAAGCTATATGAGAGGTTCAGAGGGAGGAAGGGTGAAGCAGTGATGTGGAACGGAGAGTGAAGGGATGGAGGAGACTGGAGGTAAGAGGAGAAGAGTTAGAGAACAGTGCATCTGTCTCTGTGAATGTGTGTGTGTGTGTGTGTGTGTGTGTGTGTGTGCATTCGCTGAAACAATGAACAGAAAGACATATTGTAAGATTGCAATTTCCTCAAGACAGGGAGAGGAAACCAAGCTGGAGCAGAAGAAGGCTGGCAATATTGTCTTTGTATCTAAAGTCTAATATATCTTAACCTTCTTTGCCGCAGAGCTGCAGTGTTGTTCAGAAACCATTAACAACATATAAGTAAACCACAGTGTTGCTCTCTAGGTGACATGTTCTTCTAATGTGAGAAAGACGGGGACTGTAGTTTGAGTCTTGCTACTGTTTGAAGAAAGGTGTTCACACATCCGACTGTCTCATATGCAGGTGTGGTGGAAAATATCACTTGAGTCTTTGAACAGAAAATCCTGCACACTCCTCTTGCTCAGCTTCACAGCTTATTAATAACACTAACGTTTCGGTCCTCCTGGACCTTCGTCAAGAGTGTTCAACACCATTGTTTCCGACAATGAGCTACAATAGAGACTGCCCCACCCTTTATAGGTGTGCACAGGTGTTAGGGAATTAATCAGCTGTGAGTGTGTTTCTCAATAATTGACAACAGCCTGTGCATCATGTGTCACATATCCCACAAAACTAAATAACAAGGGAATAAAAAACACAGGAATAAAATAGAAAACTCAAGCTCCTTACACAACAAAGGCTATTAACAAGATTATTTTCAAATTACAAATATTTTCCTATGTTTTTCTTGTTCCAAGACTTGAGTCTTGCTACTGTAAATAGTCACTACAGCATTAATATAGCAATATTCGCTCTAATTTCAATACTCTTTGCTACAAATGACATGACCCAGGTGATTGAGAAAAGTACTATCTATAGATTTAAGACCCATTTTGAAAATTTTCCCTCCTCAGTAGGAACAAATCCATTTGGGGCCGAGAACCACAGAGTAATATTGTAATATTGGAAAGTATTGAGAGATGGACTACCGCTTCTTTGGCTTTTGCAACCCAGTGGCTAGAAAGAAAGTTGGCATTGTAAGTGTCTGCAGACCATGTTTATGTTACATTTGTACATTATTACACAAGTAGATATGTTGAAACTATACGTTTCAGTAATGCTGGTTTACGTGTGGTTAGGATAGGCTCAAAAAACACTTGGTTATGATTTAGGTGGCTTGAGCACGACAGGAGAAGCTGTTGATGTCTTAGTAAAAACCAACTGCTTTTCATGGCACTATCCCGGCTGGAAACACAGCGATGAAACGCTAAAAAACAACCAGTTTTGATGTTTGTTGGTCTCACACAGTGATCTACAGGTTGGCAGGCGTCTTGCTATAGGTGCTATGGGACAAAGTCAGCTCATATATCATGTCACTTTAGAAATGTTGATGTGATTATGTATGAAGTGTACAAATGTAGCGTATTTGTGGTTTGCAAAAACATACAATGCCAGCATTTTCTTCTGGCGACTGGGCCGGGTTTTGACATAAGAAAAAGAAAAAAAAATATAGAATAAAGCCAAATTTCTTCTTTAAATTAGCTACCATCTTATGATGTTTTTTTCCATTGTTGTAAGTAAGTAAGTAAAATTTATTTATATAGTGCTTTTCACAGACATAGGTCAGAAAGTGCTTCACAAGGACAATATACAAGAAATTCAAGAAATGAATCATACAGGCAAAGTGACTACGTGAGCCACATAGTGAAAGAAGTACAACTAGCAAAACTATTTGCACACACACAAGAAAAAAAAAGAAGAATTCACACTACACAACAACAATATATAAAATTTGAAAAAGTAATGCTCTGGTTCATACAAATTACCCAAGCTCCTGTTCAAAAAGGTGCGTTTTTAGCTGGCGTTTAAAAGAAACCACAGAGTCAGCAGATTGTAAGGGAGCAGGCAGAGCATCCCAAAATGTAGGTGCTACGACTGCAAAAGCTCGATCACCACTTACGGCGAGTGCAAGGGACAAACAACAAATGTAGCATATGTCCGTCATATTGCAGCAGGCAGGAAAAAAAACAATCATTACTGACATGTCAGTTAACACTGTAGACTACAAAATATAACAAAATAAAAACTCTTTATAAGAAAATGACAGATTAATACTTATTACCAATTAATTAATTCATTAATTAATTCATTAATTAATCATTTGGTATATAAAAGGCTGTTAGCCAAGGTGCTGTCAAATCCAAACCCCAAATATATTCAGTGTACTGTCACATAAAGCAAAGAAAACTGACAAAGTAACCATCCTTTCTAATTTCTAATCACATATCCAAATAATGTGTTTGTACTTGATGAATAAATTCAAAGTCTTTCAGCTTGAAGAGTTAATGATAGCTCACACCACTTGTCTTGAATAGACCTGAAATCATTAACTCTAGGTGAGTGCAGGATAAGTTAGAAGTGTCTAATTAGAGCATTGTCTTTTAATTAAAAACATGAATGATCTCCTTTAGCTTCTCCTATTCTCTCTCTAACTCACTCTTTGTATTCTTCCACCAGCCGTGGGCAACTTCTTTGGTTACAGCTGTGTGCCAGGTGTTAAGGATGCCCAGCACGACCCGAGAGGCAACAACCCCAAGAACCTGTGTGAGGCGTGCATAGGAGACGAGAACGACAGACACATCTGTGCCAACAACCACAGAGAGAGGCACTATGGAGAGGCAGGGGCACTGAGGTACAACACTCACTCTAATAACATGGGAAATAATAATAATGTATTAATGGCACCCGGAGGTGGAGTAGTTGTTACGACCTCTGCCTCTGTGTCCCCACTACTTTATATCTGTCTCAGCCCACTGTCTCCATAAAGGAAAAACAGTCATTAAAGCTGCCTGTAAAAAGCTGAGTGATGACAGTAATAATACAGAGAATACACAATGAATATGATGTAACATGATGGTGCCAGACAGAAAGTTCATTTATCAAAGGGGCAGTAGTGCTGTTTATTGGTCGAGATGTTTTGGTGTGAGTTGCAGAGTGTTGGAGATATCGGCCGTAGAGATGTCTGGCTTCCCTCCAGTATAATGGAACTAGATGGCACTCAGCTTGTGGTGCTCAAAGCGGCAAAAAAGCACATTTGAAGTACTCAACAGCGATGTCTCTTTCCAGAAATCATGACCCGGTTACTCAAGATAATCCACAGACCTTGTTGTGAGCAGTTTCATTTAGCAACTATTTTCTTTCTACCAAACTACACCCACCAACTCTATCATGACACAGGAGGAAGTGGCATATACTGCTAGCTCGCCTACGCCAGTGGTGGACAGAGTACTGAAAATCTATACTCATGTAAAAGTACATTTACTTCAATAAAAAATAACTCAAGTAAAAAGTAAATGTAAAAAATTACCTGGTCAATAAATTACTAAAAGTACAAGTTACTTTCCATTTTTATACTCTTTTCAGTGTGCTGGCCAGAGCAAAATAATGAAACAAACAAACAAACAGCACTGGCTGTTGTTACACTTGAAAAATTAACAAAGCTAACCATAGCTAGCTAACTACATTTTCACCTCATGCAGCTCACTTCAATCTGCTTGTGGAAGTTAGAAGAGGAATTTTCAAAAGGGGGGAGCCGCATGCACTTCATCACGCAGCTGTAGTCTTTTTTAGATTTTGATACAAAAGTGTAGCCAGATGTAAACAGGGATTATAGCTGTGAGTTGCCTCTTGTTCTGGATTTATGCTTCATCATCGGATCGTGGTCAAAATACAGGTGGTGCTTCTTTTTCTTCAAAGCAGCTAGAAACTTGTCATCTGCAGCAGAGGTGCTCCCCTCTATCATCGCATTTAGAGCAGACTCAATGTAACGAAGGTATAAAGGGGAAATGCAGTGAAGTTAAAAGTAGAGAGCTAAAATATATACTTGAGTAAAGAGCAGAACAGTTTACAAAAAAGAACATGAAAAGTACTTGTTCTTAAAAGCTAATAATAACCTAAAGATATGGGAAGAAGGCAATGAGCCACGAAAAAGGAAATGACCCCAAAAAATTAGCAAGAAATTAGTAAAAAGACGAAAATTAAAAACAAGAANCCCCCCCCCCCCCCCCTCGAAAAACAGAAAAAAAGAAAGAAAGAATGACCTTTAAAGGGTGCTTAAAAATTCAAATAATTCTGTGACATAATTTCAAAATGTAATAATAATTACAAATACAGTTTTTCCCTTGCTTTTCCTTTTTTCCCTTTAAAAAAAATCCTAAATCTATCTTTTTTTTCACACTTTGTGGGACATTTCTTACCAAGTTGCTCATTGCCTTTTTCCCCATATTTGTCAAAGAAATCACACCAATTTGATCAAGGTTTAAAGGTCTAAATTCTTGCATAAGGCATCTGAAATTGAATTGAATTGAATCTGAAAGCAGCACGAGAAAAGTGACGTCACTCCAGGTTGCAAATGGTTAAAAAACCTAATTTTTCACTTGTGCGTTATTTGAAGTTCGTTACTACCCACCTCTGCCTAGCACCTATGAGCTAGCTAACATTACGGCTCAGCTGAAGAGGACATCATTAATGTTTACATCTCGTGCTGTCACAAGAGGCCCGTTTCCACTGAAGAAGTTTCTGGTACTATTTGTGGGGCAGGAACTACTACAGGAACGTCCTCTCGCTTGGCACACTCAACCACCGTGTCTCCACTGAGAGAGCGGAGTACGAGTTCGAATTTTCGAATAGTCGTTTTATTTTGAAAAATCGATTTTTTTAATGCGACTATTACTATTCGCCGTCTTATTTCCCCCCCTTTATTTGACATGCAATTCAGCTCCTAACCACACGAGGGCAGTATAGGATTGCTACAGCGGTATGAGATGGGCAACCAGCTAGTTTGATGCACTTCTACAAACAGGAGAAACATGCAGAGACTACTACAGTCATCAAAAAGTTCCCTGTGGAACAACTTCGACAAAATAAATGAAAATGAGGTGCAGTGCAAACTCTGTGAGGCAAAGCTTGCGTATCACAAGTCTACAACAAGTATGCACAGTCATTTGAGAGCGACTGATTATTCGAAAAATCGTCGAATAGTTACCATGATTTTCAAATAGTGCTTTTGTTTGTGCTGCCCATCCCTAATACACACTTGATCCTGCGTGGTGATACAATTGGTATTTTGAGCACTACAAGCCAAGTGTCATAGTCCCATTATATTCAATAGAAAGCAGACATCTCTAATTTCCAACACTCAGCAACTCACACCAAAACAATCTAGACTAATAAACAGCACCACAGGTAAGATTAAAAATATGAATTTTCGATTATGGCGTGAATTGTCCCTCTGGGGCGTTGGTGGCTTAGTGGTAGAGCAGGCGCCCCATGTACAAGGCTGTTGCCGCAGCGGCCCAGGCTCGACTCCAGCCTGTGGCCCTTTGCTGCATGTCACTCCCTCTCTCTCTCCCCCTTCACGCTTGTCTGTCCTATCCATTAAAGGCTAGAAAGCCCTAAAAAATATTAACCCATAAGAACCCACTGTGACACAGATGCCACACATCCTTTAAATGTTCTGGAAAATTCCATGAACAGCTTTCTCCTTGACTTTAAAAAAAAAAAAAAAAAAAAATGTCAATTCCTGTTTGCTGCAATTTCTTCATAGAATGTGAGTTTCAGTCATTGCTGACAGGCCATAATTGCAGACAACAGCGTGATTACATCCACAAATATCACTGTGTGTAACACAGTAACAGTTGGTGCAGCAGTTCAGCGTGTTTGAGATAGGAATAAAAGAGCTACAGGGGCTGTTATTAATTTTTGAAGTGCAACAATAGGCAGCAGAGGGAGTTTACTTATGATCTCCAGAGTCATGCTGTTACAATAACACGTTCCCAAGTGTGCTGATTTCCACTTTATTCATCTATTTATAGACTAAATGAGTCCCATTATTCATGTGTGTTTCTTTCAGGTGTGTGGCGGAGAACCTCGGGGACGTGGCCTTCGTCAAACACACGACAGTCTTTGACAACTTGGACGGTCGGTGTTAATGTGTATTTGAAGGAAAACACCAGTGGTTACATAATGATATAATTTTATAATTTAAATGATGCATGATGAGGTTATTTAGGGCCAGCAGACAGAGAGAGTGAGAGGGTGCTAGTCCCTGTGACGACACAGGATGTCAGTGTTTCACAATGTTTAACAGTGTGTGACATCCAGATTACAGCGAACAGATTGCTGTTTATATGGTACATGATATAATAATGATCACACGGTTTATTTATAGGTGCCTTTCAAGACACCCAAGGACACTTTACAAAACCAGATGAGACAGTCAGTTAGTGCATTATAAATGAAAAACAATGATGATAATAACAAAGAACATCAGCAATGATGAAATATAAATACAGATATGTGCGTTTGTGACACAGAGGTCAACAGAAAGATAAAAATAAAAGGGATCATGAGTGAGACGCAGACATCGCACGGACATGAAGGGACAGGCAGTGGTTCAGACATTTTCGTCCGATAGAGAAATGCCCTAATTCTTTGTTTGCTGCATCTGCTCCTCCGCTTTGGGCAACATCCAAAATTAATGGTGATCATTATCACAGTCACGCTACACAGACTCTGCTGGTGCAGCTGAGAAGGAGCAGTTTGACGCCAGCTCCACAAACACTGTAGCTGTTTAACGAAGCATGCTTTCTCATATGGTTCAGAAATGTCCGGAGTCAGACCAATTAACGGAGGTCAAGAAAACACAGGAGGTCTGTGCCGTCGTCTAGAGACACAAAGTAGCTTCAAGGTGGTTTATTTTTGTCTCTAATTATTTGTTTGGCTAAATGAGAGTTTTTGTGCTTTTAAACTCTTAGCTGGCCAACCAAATCTCTCAATATTAAAACGTGAAATTTTGAAAATATAAAGTCAACACTCCCAGCTCTAAATGAGAAATACACTATTTGAAATATATGTTAATTTAGCAATAGTTGAGTGATCAAATCTCAAACTAATTACTGAGTACTGAGCTGTTGGGTATCTTAAATTTTAGTTGACGACACAAACAATATAACACATGATGTAAGTAACTCATAGCTAATGTTATCATTTTTTGAGAGACCCTTCCAGGTTATATTGCAGCACATATCTCAAATTAGCCTCCATAAACTCTGTCCACTTGAGACCTGAACTTTTGTTTGGTATGCATTTTTAATTTCTACTAGCTTTTGGGATCAGTAGGACCCGATAAGTATTAACAAACTAAACATTGTCAATGATAATAAAATCCCAGTGACCTCAAATGAGACGACAATGACGTCCCAATGCCCTAAAACAAGATGATAGTAAAATGCCAATGTCTTCAAACGAGTACTTCCTAATCAACAGTGTCTTAGCTTTTAACTGTTGTTAAAATTGGGCAAATTTGTTCCCATATCAAACTACAAACAGTATTAATCATAAATGTGATCAGGTTTTGTATTTTGTCCACTTTTGTGTCAGGATTGACTTGGCAGAGATGGCTGCCATCTTGTTTTTACATGGATTAGTGTACTGTGCTCTTACTACCACTAGATGGCACATAAAAGTGTCCACGAACAAGGACAACAGGTCTAACTTAAGTAGAATGAAGTATAAGGTCAAGTAAACCCAAAACGTGATGTCCTCATATGAGGACACAGGGTCTCAGGAGGATATAGGTCGTACCGAACCAGCAGCTGTAACCACAGAAGTGTTCACTGAGCCTTTGTTATGCTGCATTCACAAGGAATCAGGCAGATGTTAGGTGGCGAACTGTGTGTCATTTTAGTGGGCGAGAGCAGGACAGTGACACTAGATAAGGTCAGCAGAGAATACCAGCAACAGTAAAGGTACACAGCACTACCTTCCAAAGTTAAAATATAATATAAATAACCTTTTTGTCATCCTCCATGATAGAATCTCAATTCAATTCTATTTAATTCAATAGAACTTAATTTATCTCAAAGGAAATTTTTGTGTCAGAAAATACTTCAAATTACAGTTACACTAAGTACAGTAACCACAATTTAACATTCACAACTAGTAACAACCAGACAACAGTGGGGTCTGTGCATCAGGGTCACTCACCGGGCCCAGTTTTAGAAACAACAGAGTATTACATGTCTGGCAAAATATACAAATAAGATATAATAATATACAAGATAGAGGTGTTTTCAAGGAGCAGAAGCAAAAACCAGTACCTTAGAGAGTAACAACAGGAGTATGATAAGTACAAGAGTAAGAGTTTGATAATCAATGTTATATTGAATATGAAATAACAATGAGAAGTAGCATATTTTATTTATTTAACAGGGACAATGCACAGCTAATTTTCATCTCTAGTCCCTGGGCAGGAAACAGATAAAAATTTCTCTGCTAAAAGACATTATTAAATAAAAAACACAATAACAATACTGAACATATTCATGACACAACGGCTTCAGCAATAACAATAGCAAGACTACACAACATCAAGTCAATGCAACAATAACAACAGCAACAACAATACAACTACAACATTAAGATGTAACAAGATTCCATAATGTTAGGTCAAGAGTTTGAGTCCATGTGTGATGTGTACATGACTGGGTTGATTTTAGCCATGATATCATCTTAAATTTACAACCAACAAAGCTGTCTTATCTCACTTGGTGCTGAGCTCCAATAGTTTGCATCTATAACACTGAAGACTGATCTACCAGACTCAGTAGATCTGCACTACACAGTGGCCTCTGTTGGTCCTCCCATTGTACTGCACATGGCTGAGAAAATGATACTGCACTACACTGACAAGTGATCATGATACTGAAGAATAATATTGCACATGATGTTGTCCTAATTCCTACTTTACAACCAGATGTTACGTAGCTCCCTAACACATGGAGAAAACATGGGCGATCTGGCCAATTAGTGGACATAACTAGAATAATTGAATATAATAATAGACACTATATAATTTTAATATATTTTATTCCATTCTTTGTAACAGTACAGCAGCACCATCGCAACATAGCGTCATATGTGGGGTTTGATTTTGACGTCCTGCCATTCTGTCAGACTGTTTGTTATTCCCATGCCATCTGACAGTACTGTTCGTCTGCCATCTGCCGTCTGCCCGATTCCATGTGAGTGCAACATTAGTGTTGCTACCGAACCACAATTACAGTCCTGGGTCAGTTTCAGACGGATAAACAAAAGTAGGCTAGTGTAAACTAATTCTTGTGCTAACACTCTGTGAATTGGTTGAAATGTTGGCTGCTTTAAGAAGAAGAAGAGAACTGTAAAAGGCAGTGATGTAATGGTAGTGGATGAAGTTGGTGTACTACTAGGTAGATGGATAGGACACCAAGGAGGAAGTGGATATACTCTCCTTTATATCCCAATAGCTTTTTGGCTGATAGATGGGTATACTGCAAACTGCAAGAAAAAAATGAAAAAATAATGTAGTTAGTTAATAACATGCCCCTTGCCATTGGGGATAAGGTTGCTACTGAAGGTAGTGAGCTAGTTAGTCGAGATGCTAACATTTGGAGCTTACATTGGAGCAAATGCACACGCTGTTTAATCCATTCCTTGCACCTTTTTTCATGTACTTCTGGTTTTGGAGACCCCACCCTCCGAACAGTTCTAAGGATCTTTTCAGACCTAGAGTTGTCTTACTTTGGTCCGAATCAGGGACTGATTTTTGTCACAAAGTTGTATAATTGCTTAGAGCTGGTTCGTGTTCTCACGGCAGCATTTACAAGCGGACCAGATCAAATGCCTTGCGCGAGAAAACTGCTCTTGATTGGTCAAAATTTCCATGCGGGAAAAATCCAGGAAGTAAACCAAACGCTGAAGAAGAGTACACTTGCAAGATAAATGCAACACTTTCTAATGTCACAATGGAGGGACAACTATGCAGGTTGATTTTAGCGCTGCTCATCGTGGACTATATTGCTGACATTGTTCATTTTAGTCAAACCATACAGTTTGAAAACGAGGCGCGGCTCCAACTAGAAAACAATGTTTTGATACATTGGATGTGCTGAATGTGCATATTAAGGCAGTACAGGAGGAGGTGCACATTAATAATCCTCCAGGACTGTAACATGCTCATGTTTAACCCAAACAATGTGTCATGTGACTGCAGTTGGTTCAGATCCAGGTCGGAACACGTTCTCACCACAAACGAACCGCACCAGAGTTCGTTTGTAACCGAACCGAGACCACCTCTTCAAGAAGGTCTCAGTCCGGGTGTTTTGGTGCGCACCTGAGTGCTGTGTTCACACCTGCCCAAAGAAACCACACTTAGGGGGCAAAGGAACTTAAACCGAACCAAACAGGGCAGGTGTGAAAGCACCCCAAGCCCCATTCACAATGGCTCGGCAAATGGAAAATCCAAAGCTTGAAAGGCTTGCTAACATCAGGGGATGGGGTTTATTGAAGGTGGTCAAGTGAGCAATGCTGCACTTTATTTCTGACCTGTAAAAAGTTGCATATCGTCTCTTTAATTTATATTCTAATACATGATAATGCTGCTTCTCTGCATGGGTGTTCTGAATGGTCTTGACATAAAATCTGACACACTTTCACTCTTCTGCTGCCCAGGCAAGAACCAGGAGTCCTGGGCTCTGGATCTGGAGCTGGAGGACCTAAAGCTGCTGTGCCCAGATGGAACTGAGGCAGGTCTGGGCGAGTTTGAGCGATGCCACCTGGCAGCCGTCCCTGCTAATGCTGTTGTGGTGCGCTTGGAGGACAAGTGTCGTGTCTGGAAGTTCCTGGAACGTTTACAGGTGGGTGTGGACAGAAATTGCATCAGCTGCGTGTGTGTGTGTATTATTCTCCAGATATGTGTGTTTACGTCTTCCTCATCTCTGTGGAGTCAGTGTTATCGATCAGCACATCTCAGAGCGCAGGTTTCTGCTAAACTGTCATCCATCCTTCCTTACTGAGTGTGTGTGGGAGACGCCAGGATGACTGATACGTCCTGTGCTGATCCCCTGGCTACACACACACACACAAACCCAAAGAAACACACACACATACACAGTGCATGCCAACGCACATCCATGCATGCCCGCATGCATTAAGTCCTGTCACACACTTTCTCCCTCCTGCAGAATGCGTTTGGCAACGCCACCGAGGGCTTCCGCCTGTTCAGCTCAGCAGGCTACGGTGAATCCGATCTGCTCTTCAGTGATGCCACCCACCACCTGCAGAGGGTTCTGGGTAGCTACACCTCCTGGCTGGGCCCCACTTACACCACCACGCTGCAGGCCTTCGAGTGTGAGGGTAAGAGTGATGGTGTGCTTTTGCTTGTGTGTAAAAAGGGTGTTTACGTGGATCTGCTGACGAAACGGGTAGCTAAGTGGCTGGAGGAGTGTGTTCTCCTTTGTGTGTGTGTGTGTGTGTCCACTGCAGCTGTTCTCATTATTGCGCTTTCCCTCCAACAGGCTTCTGCTGATGGAGCAGGAGGAAGACATCCAGCACATCAACTTCCATCCCATCCCTCCGTCTCCGTCCTCCCCTTCTGCCTTCCTTCGCTGCCATCTGTGTCCCTCTGCCACTCCGTCTCGCCATCTCTCATCCTCTTTGCTTTGCTTCTTGTGTTTGTTTTCTCCCTGCGTTTCACCACCCATTCTCTGTTATTATGTCCTTGTCCTTCTTGCACCTAGTGCTTCACTCTAGTGTGCTGGCTGGCAGGGAGGACATTGCAATCCATTCGCCAAGATAAATACTGGCATTGAACATTTCTGCAAACCACAAATGTTACATTTCTACATTTCATATGTCGAGGACAAGTTGAAACTTCCTTTCTCCACATTTTAATTTTTAATTTGATGTGACAACGCTGTGGTTAACGTGTGGTTAGGTGCAGACACAAAAACCACTTGGTTAGGGTTAGGAAAACATGTTTTGGTTTAAAATATGTGGTGTGGTCGTCACAAACACTGCTGGAAATTTCCAGAACTGTCATTAAAAACACCCAGTTTTGTTGTGGCTGCTCCACCACCCCCCTCCGCCTCCTAAAGACAAACTCAGCTCATAAGCATGCAATCTGAACTACGTCAATGTTATCCTTTCGTAAAATCTCCTGCTCCTTTTCGGGTTGTGAAAGCTGTTTGGTTGAGTCATTGGCAAAGGATTCAAGAGATCCCAAACTCCCTTCACATTTCTCCACCCTTCATTTTGCAATTAGTTCTTTCACAGTTTGCAACTTTGTGTCAAATGCATCTGATATTTCCTTGCGGACAATATTGTGCAGTGTGGTTGCCAGTTCAGCATTCTACATTGTTTGTTTCAAGCCTTTTGACAGCATCATTGGGAACTTAAAGGGATAGTTCACCCAAAAATGAAAATTCAGCCATTATCTACTCACCCATATGCTGAAGGAGGCTGAGGTGAAGTTTTAGAGTCCTCACATCACTTGCGGAGATCCAAGGGGAGAGGGGGTAGCAACACAACTCCACCTAATGGAGGCTTACGGCACCCCAGATTAAAACGTCCAAAAACACATAATTGAAACCACAAAATATCTCCATACTGCTCATCCGTAGTGATCCAAGTGTCCTGAAGCCCCGACATAAAGAGTTGTTTGGAAAAACGTCATTTGAACTCTGTTTTTAGCCTCATTGTAGCCTGAAAAAACTTCACCTGAGCCTCCATCGGCATATGGGTGAGCAGATAATGGCTGAATTTTCATTTTTGGTTGCACTATCCCTTTAAGAAAGCAGTACCTGTTTTTCTGTGCACTTTGATTTAGCCCTCCAGTATTTGTTGAGAAACTGACAAATAGGTCTGTATTTAGGAACAACAAAAACACATGGTTGGGTTTAGGAAAAAAGAACAGGGTTTGGCTTTAGAATCTTACAGGACACAAACACCGCTCTCTCAGGTGAAAGTCGATGTTTGTTGGACCCATCTGCCCCACTTATAATTACAGATCATCCAGACGCACTCTCATTTATACATTCGATGCCAACGGAACTGGATATCCTGAACTACGTCAGCGCGAGCCCGGTCTCACTCCGAGGTCGTCGAAATCCAGCGCTTGGGCAGTGTCTTGTGGCATAAGAAACCAACGACAAAAGGTGCTCTTTAACATCGGCATGATACTCATCCAGTTGCTGTTGTAGTTTAACGGTGCCCGCCAGCGTCGGGGGAACGTGGCCGGACAAGATTGAAAGTTAAGGCGGCAAAAGTCTAAGTGGGGCAGATGGGTCCAACAAACAACGACTTTCACCTGAGAGAGCGGTGTTTGTGTCCTGTAAGATTCTAAAGCCAAACCCTGTTCTTTTTTCCTAAACCCAACCATGTGTTTTTGTTGTTGAAGGAAAAAAGCTTCAATTCACGGTGCTTTAATGACATAAATTTCCTGTGCAAACAGAAGTGTACCTCGAAAGAAGACAATGCATGTAACAGGCAGAACTTGAGACAGCGTCCCAGAACGTCAACAACCAACACATCCAGGGTACCTTTCATATCGTCCAAATGTGACGAGGTCGTAGTAAGAATGTGTCAGTGTTGATAAATGTACAAAGGTAACAGATATGTGGTTTGCAGAAATGTACAATGTCAACATTTTATTGTCACGGCTTGCCTGGATATCGCTAAGAGGGGCTAATCTGCTACAAAAAACTTCAGAAAATGTCCCTAAAATTGAGCTTACGTTAAAAAGGACACTTGGCAGAAAGGGGTAGGAAATAGAAAACCATAAAATAGAATGTAAGTGCAAGTAAACATTTGTAGTTCTTATATTATGGATAGATTGTGTCTATTTTTAAAGCTCTTTAAAAAGATTTTGATAAAGATTTTAGTGGAGATACAAACAAAAAAAGCCCTGTTAAGAGTTCCTACCCTGTTTGTTTGTTAGAAATTGTGCTGCATTAGTCTGAGCTTCAGCACCACCCATACACCCCCCACCTCCCTCCCACAGGGTTTGTCTCTGGCACTGAACAACTGGGTGCTATTAACTCTGAGCTTAGACGTCTCAGTTACTGTATGTGTGTGTGTGAGTATAGACTTTTTCCCACAGCCATTATTGTCCTAATTGGCAGTCTGGCATATCATACTGTTTGTGTGCAAGTGAGAAAAACTGTGTGTGTGTGTGTGTGTGTGTGTGTGTGTGTGCATGTGTGTGTATGTTTATGTGCCTATGTGTTAGTGTGTTGATAGGATTGCTGCTTTCCCATGGCTTGTATAGCTTAGGACTTTGGATCACTGCTTTCTCACATCTGGTATGGTGGACCGGATGATGCCAGCTCGCAGTGTACTGTTACACTATACAGTTAAAGGAGAAACTGGATTAGGGCTTGGGCTGCCTCCAGTGACCCCTGAGTGAGTCTTTTTGTTTAAAAAGCCTTGATATTTTTCTCATCTGTGACAACAACTCCCAAAATGTCCTCTCTTATACCCACTTTGTCTGTCCTGCTTTAAGCCGTAAAGGACTCCTGCTGCATTTTACTACCATTTATCATTTATACTCTAAGATTGATAATACCAGCAAGACATTGATAAGTTACCAACAGGAGGATGTCTGAGGCAGTTTGTGATATCATCAAGAATTGTCACAGAGTATTAATGAATGAATGTGCTCTGAAGATTTATTTTTCTGACATGTTTAAGGCAGCGTAATTACAGAATCACGCTTAGATCAGAAGCTCATTTAAAGCCTCACTTGACCTACTGAATCATGTACTGTAAAATATATAATGGACTGTAATTCTGGGCTTTAGTTGTCGGCTCCACTTTTATTATTTTCTCTCCCGTTCTGCACCACAGAGCTCGGCAATAAACTGATAAACCGGATGAAGTTCTCCTCGTCAAACTGTGGTTTTTGACCTCATTGTACTGCAAAAAAATCCAACGAGTTAGAGCTAATACAACAGATACTAATGCAGGTTTTTGCAGGACTCTGCTTTGAAAGAAACCCTAATGCCTTCATTTTGAAATAAAACAGTCACAAGAACTCCTCAAGTATGAATGTGCGTGATTGAAGATGCCATAATTCTTGAGAGGAGCGATATTTTGCACCTCATTTGCAAAGGGTAAAAGGCATATCTGTTGTACTAATTCAACTCTGGTTTGTACCATTGGTGCTGTTTCTACTGTTGTCCGACAGGCTTCGAATGATGTAAATACTCCTCACAGCTTAAAAAATGTAGTGCTGCAAATCTTCTTTTTTTTCAACCAATTAAATGAATGATGATAAAGAAAATAATCCTCTCTGGTCCTTTCTAGCTGACTTCTAATTATCCTGGAACAGGCACATGATATCTGTGTGAAAATGAATTATGCTCGATATCATCTCTTTTGGTCCATCTCGCACTCCTTCCTCTCGCTCTCAGCACACTCATTCACTCAGAAATAGGCTGTTTGCTCCCTCTCGGTCATTTGGGGAAGGAAGGAGAGAACGAGGGGAGGAATTAGGACATAGAGAAGTCGAAAAAATAATAGAGGTCACACAGACAAAGACCTACATACAGAGGTGCTCACTCAGGTAGAGAGAAGCACCTCCCAGGTAGACAGGTGAATCAGGGACACAAAATCCTCATAGGTGGGCTCGGCGTGGAGACAGGCCTCTGCTCAGCGTGCACCAAATGCCCCTGCTGGCACTGCTTCACCTCATTTACAACATTAATCCTTTAGAGTAAGTCTGTGTCTGTGACGGAGGAGTACCATTTAGCAGTGAGCAGATACTGTAGATTAAACTGCATTGCAGCAGAGTGCTGCAATCGCTCTCAATCCTCAGCTCTCTTGCTGGCCATTTTGCTGTAATGCACAAATAAAAACAACTAATGTGGCCTTAAAGCCCTCAAGTTGGAGGCGAGGGTTTGCAAGAGAGGAAAGTGTGTAATGCCAGTGGTGGAAATTGACTCGTAATTTAATAATTTTGCACTTATAAAAACAGATTACAAGAGTGTAAAAAATGAGTAAAGAGATCAACAAACCATATACAGCTGAACTCCCCCAAACTTACAGTAATAACCTCGTATAAAAATCATGAACAAGTCAAATAAAAACACACATACTACAGTTTGACCTCAAAACTGTACTTTGATGTATTTCCATTTATGCTACTTCTTTTTCTTCACTGCATGTCAAGGGGGAACATTTTACTTTTTTACTTCATCCGACAGCTGGGTATTCAGATTTTACAAAACAAAAACTATCCTATAAAACATGATACACTGTTATAGATTAAATTACCCAATAGAAGTTAAGCTACAACAATAAAGTCTCTCTCAGGCACGGTAATTGAGTACAGTTTTAGGTATTCATACTTGATTAGTATCATCATTTCCTGCCCTTTCACTTCTACTACTTCTCCGCTACATTTCAAAATGAAATATTATAGCATACCTTTTACATTTATTCAATGGTGTCATGGTAGATGATGAGGTGGGTGTACTGCTAGGTAGATAGGTTAGCGTGGAGGAAGTGGATACATGAATGGGTATATTTCTAAAGACCAGAAAAATAGTGTATATCCCATATATCTGCGTATACGCCAGGCCCCTAGGAAAGCTGATTAGCTTTGCAGCAATTGTTTCCCGGTGGCCACTTGCGGTATTGCAATGAAAAAAAACATTTTCCCCATAGACCACCACTGTAAAAGACATGTCTTTGAAACTCTTGACAGGACACCACAAACTGCAGACAAGGTCTGTATGAATCTTTCTATTCTGAATTTTTGAGCCATGGAGGTTTCATATATGTAAAACTATCCTGGAGCCAAGAAAAGTGATTTAAAAATACATGAGGTCATCACAGTGTAAAGTCTATGAGCTGAGCAGGAGGAAACACTACTGTGCATAATGGCATGGTCAAAGTTGTCACATTGGCTACGGTTACATGATGGCTTCTCATTCGGAAT